ACGCCGCATGATCTAGCTTGCTTTGGGACAAGTTCCCAGGGAGAACAGGCAATGACCATCTGACACAAGCATCTATCTTTTCCAGTGGTTCCCCATCTTGGCTCCATATTACTATAACCTGGAGAACTTTAAAAAATCCTGATGCCTCACATCTATCCAGACCAATCAAGTCAGAATCTCTGGGAGTGAGGCCAACCATCAGTATTTTTTAAAACAGGTCCAGGGCTAATTCACATCAAGCTGAGATCTACTATTGACTACACAGATCTGAGTGGTTTGATAGATGAAAAAAAAACAACCCAAAAAACAGATTATGAATTCTCTACTTTACAAGTACCAAGTAAACCACCAACAGAGAACTCACTATTTCTCTAAGCAACTGTAAACTATGCCATTAATTTTTCTTTAAATGCATTCAACAATTCCTCTATTTTGTTAATCTACTTTGACTTTCATAGAATGGTGAAGCATATAATCTGCTCACAGATAATCAAGAGCTGCTTGTCATACCTTTCCTGCCATTATTTGTACTGCAATAAAAATAACCCACCTCACACTTTGATATTTCATTTTAGATCATATCATAAACTCTATCATTAATACTAAAGCTTTAGGTGTATAGTGAGAGCCATGATGTGCCCTGATATGTGTATTCATTAGATTGCATTTCTATTCATATTGTAACTATATCCAAACAGCACTTGCAGAGTCCCGGCATCAGCAGCCATCTGAAATGCCTGCATTTCAGTTCCTACTTTAATGCAGAACTCCTTTGGTTTCTATTTTAAAGCAGATTCTTAAAAACACATTGCAATCAGTGTGATGGCACACAAGACCCGCCAATTGTCCTTGATCTCAATCTTGCATAGAGTCAAAGCTCCCACCACAATAAAGGACTCTTATTTTACTGACGGATGGTCATTGGTCCACCCCATCTCCACTCCCAAACAAACAAAATTTCCTGCAGCTGCGGTGATTCCAAGAAAGATCTGGACTCATAAGCAGATTCACCAGGAAGCCAATGAGGCTCAATCTTCAGGGCCTCACAATGTGTGGGGGCCTCTTCTAAGCCCTAGGAGGTACCCTAAATGTTTGTATTTGTAATTTTATATTCTTTCCCTTGAGGCAAAATATATAAGAGCTAGACCCCACAAATTTTGGATCCATCCATAAGTGAGCCTAATGTAACTTGGCTATCAATCAGAAGGCAGACACTAAATAAACTGTTAAATCTTTACAACATGACATTAACAATCATTGGTCTGGGGCTGCAATCTGACCCACAGAATTAGGCTTTCCTTTCTTGCCAACAGAGATATTACTGTTGATTTACAAACAAAGGTGGAAGGAAGAGAGCCATCCTCATTGGAAAGGGCAGGTTCTAGGCTCTAGAAACCAGGGATGAAAACCCAGGCTTTTCCAGGACGTGTGGAAATTAGGCACAGCCGTGGGGCAGGGCTGGCTGATCCTATGAAAATCCAAGGTCACCTTCCACAAATAGCATCAGCTTTCTGTGCCTTCAGGGCCTGCCACGAGCATCCTGTCTGGCCTTTTTGCAAAGAACATTTTCTGTCCACGCTCTTGCTAAATTTGAAAGTCCTTTTAATGTAGTAAAAAAGAAAAACTCCTAACCAATAATAAAAGAGAAATGGCTTAACATCCAAATGTCTGGAGTGAATATTTGAAAGCATAATCATGAGTTGATAGTTCTAACCCAGAGTTGCCAGGTTCCTGTGGCATTTGATGGGGGTAGCAGTGGGGAGATGGAGATGGGAGAGGATTAAGTTGGTAGGGAAACTAAAGAGGAGGCTGAAACATGGAAAGCCATTCTTTATTGCAGACTCCATGGCGTGGCCGGTGGTACCTTGCTTCCTGCTATGGTATGGGCCTGGACACAGCAGAGCCACACCACCAGGTGGGCCCATATTGCAGCCATACATGCAGACAGGAGGCCTGCAAAGACTGACTGAAGTCTGAGGTGTTCACTTCCTTACACAACCTTCCCTCCTACTTGCCTTTGGTTCTAGAGACTACTCAGGTCAGCAAGGACTCTGGTTCAGAAAGTGGAGACAAAGCCCAGTCTGGGAGTTCCCCGTTATCTAGCACCCCTTCCTCTGAACACCTGTCCATCTGTGTCTAGCTCTTCCCAGGGTAGCATCATGCTGTCCCTGCTAGCCAATAAGTCCACATTATCTCAGCACGTTCCCATTTTTGCTCTGAGCCAACTTTTCTCAGAGCTCTTCTGCTAAGCTCTCCCGGGGCAGGTGGACTCCCCTGCAGGACCAGTGCCACTGAGTGGCTAAGCCCCAGGAACACAGTGGTCTGCATTCCAAAAGAAAGCCCCTCTGTCTTACCATCACCTGCCACTGAAAACTGACCGATGTGCAATTTGCTGTCTTTATAGCGAGGCCACAGACCCTGTCAAATCCAGTCCTTCCTTTTATTCCTAAAATTGAACCATATGGCTTCAAACCGCATTATATTATAGAAACATAACTGTCAGCAGTCCACTGCTCCTAGGCCAGATTACTGAAGAGCACTTTCTTTCTAAGGTTGCTTCAGCTGCGGGAAGGAGTAGGAAGAAAGGCAGCAGAAGCAGCATGTTTAGATAGAGAGGAAGACTTGGCTTTTTTGGTTACTTTATCCTCTGGTCCACTAGGCCAGGAAAAGCCAAAGTCAGAAAGCCATTCTTGGAAACTTATTCAAATTTTGCTGCAATTTTAGGTGAAAAAAAAAAAAAGAAAAAAGGAAGAAAAAAAAAGCGAAAAAAAAAAAAAAAAAAAAAAAAAAGCTTCTCCTTCAGCAAATGGGGAAATAGACTCATCCCGAATTAAATTAAAACTATTTCCCTCACTGCCTGGCCCATGTAGCTCAGTGGTTGAGCCAGGAAATCACAGTTCAATTCCTGGTCAAGGCACATGCCTGGGTTTCAGGCTTCATCCCCAGTGTGAGGTGTGCAGGAGACAGCCAATCAATGGTTCTCTCTCATCAATGATGTTTCCATCTCTTTCTCCCTTCCTCTGTGAAATCAATCCTATATAATAACAGTATAATATGCAAATTAACCAAACAGGCGAACAGTAGGATGACCATCAGGAGGGCCACGCGGAACCATGCTATGGCACTCACTGGTACCAGGCCAGCCAAGGCAGGTGGGGGTGAGGGGGACGGGGTCCGGCCATCGTCCCATGATGGCCCCTCAGAGGGAGGCCCAGGCCACCATCTGGCGGGCTGAGGCAGGTGGGCGGGGGCCTCCCTCTGAGAGGGAAGCTGGTGCTGGCAGCCTAGGGGAAGGAAGGCCTACTCTTGCATAAATTTTGTGCATTGGGCCTCTAGTAAAAATATTTTTTAAAAACCATTTCCCTCACAAACCATATTTAAATTATGAAACTTGTGAGGAAGCTCTCCACTTCACTTTCTCCAAAGACAGACCAGGTTGTGAGAACAAAGCCAGGAGAGGGTCTTAGCAAATCACAGTCGATAACTAACTCTACTGAAAGCACAGGGAGGATGCCTTTATGATGTCACCAAGAAATGTTCATTATTATAGGATATAATCAACAATGGAAGTCAGCTAGATTGACAAAATATCAACATCATTACCATTGTGGGCTGTTTTATGTTATGCTGATAGGACTTTGGGGGGAAGTTTTTGGAAATGTTTAGGACTGAAATCACCCAACACCCTAATTTGCCTGACCACATCCAATGCAGTGGGTGTGGCAAAAATACTGAAGAAGTAAAATGTGGTCAATCTGCAAATAGTTCCATTCAGATGGTATACATATCATTACTATGGTAGTTCATGTTCATTATAGAGCATCTCTCTTTGTTCTTACTTCATGGTAGAAAAAATTCACACATAGTAGCTACAAGTTACTATTGTTGAATATAGGTTCTTAGGCTTAGGAAATGGGCCTCCTTTGTGGCAGTTGAACAACGGTTCTCCATCAATCACTGATCTACAAAGGATGACAATCAGCTCCCATTGGGTTAGTTTAGGTGCAGCCATTCACAGCAACAAGGCTGTTGAAATCACATACAGAATTATTTGAACACAATGTTCTCCTTGCATGTGAGAGACAAGGACAGAGACAATGAATATGCTTTTAGTCTATTAAAATACTGTGCTTTTAATTATTCCTGCTTTACCCTGAAAATTAACTAACAGCAACTCAGAAAGCATTGAGGAGCTACTGGAAATAAATTATGAGTCAGTTGAAGCAATAGTTCCCTCCTCCTCCCCGCTCTACAGACTTCCCTCCCACCTTACAGATGCCTTTAGCATTGCATTCAACTAAAAGTGAAATACTAGTACATATTTTCAGTAAATGGATAAAAAAAGTTATAGAACTCCATAAAACATGGAGAAACAACACATCCTTCTCTGATACAGAAATTCTCAAAAGTGTCACCCATAGACTACCTGTGTGAGACTCACCTCAGGTGTTTATTTAACAGTCTCACCCCAGACACACTGAGTTAGAATGGCAGCTGGGGATCTGCATTCTCTTCTTAAATATTATTTTTCTTTTCTATTTTTTAAAATTGATTTTAGAGAGGAAGAAAGAGGGAGAGAGAGATAGAACATCAACGATGAGAGAGATTCATTGATCCGCTGCCTCCTGCCTGCCCCCTATTGAGGATCGAGCCCACAACCCGTGTATGTGCCCTAACCAGAAATCAAACCATGACCTCCTGATTCATAGGTTGATGCTCAATCACTGAATCACACTGGCCAGGCCAATATTATTTTTCGATTATAGTTGACAAAAAATATTCTATTAGCTTCAGGTGTACAACATAGTGATTAGACATTTACAATATATACTTTACAAAGTGATCATCCTGATAAATCTAGTACCCATTTGGTGGCATACGTAGTTATTACAATGTGGGAATCTGCATTCTTAACAAGAACACAGCAAGACTGACAGGCAAATATCATGATTTAATGTGGATTGCCTTGTGTCTGTACTCAGCTGCTGGCCCCTACTTACCCGGAGGACTCCCGTGTCCTGCTGCAGCTGTGGCAATTGCAAAGGCAGAAGCAGGCGAAACAGAGCAGTGGGAGCTGTCAGTCATCTGTCCTGGTTATTTAAAAAGAATAGAAATAGCATGGTGAGGCAGAAGGGTAATAGTCTATAATAAAATGCTCATTTCATTCCTGTAATGAATGAACGATTGGGCCAAATGCACTGTATTTTCTTTATTAATAGGAAAATAATAAGATCCTACATCAGCAAGTACACTCTAGATATATACTCAAGAGAAATGAAAACATATGTCCACACAAAAACTTACACATGACTGTCCAAAGCAGCTTTATTCATAATGACCAAAAAGTAGAAACAACCAAATGTCTATCAACTGATAAGGGGGTAAACCAACTGTGGTATATCCATACAATGGAATATCATTTAGCCACAGAAAGGAATGAAGTACATACATATTACAACATGAACAAAACTTAGAAACATTATGTTACGTGAAAGTCACAAAAAGTCACGGGTTATATATGATTCCATTTATATAATAGGTAAATCCATAGAGAATAGATTAATAGTCATCAGAAAATGGAGGAAAATAAAAATGGGGAGTGACTAATGGGTACAGGGTTTCTTTTTTGGGGGGGTGGTGAAAATATTTTGAAACAAGATAGTGGTTATGGCTGCACAACATTATGAATATATTAAAAACCACTAAGTTGTACTTTAAAAGTGTAAACTTTATGGAATATAAATTATATCTCAATCTGAAAAGCACTTTTTAAATATTCTACATCATGTTACCAACAGAATTTTCTTCTCAAAACACCTTTAAAGGGAGGAATGCATTATAATTTTTTTAAATGCACTCAGCACAATTTTGCAGTCCCTCTCCCTCCTCAGATATTTTACACACAGCATTTAATAATGTTGATGCCAACATCACTATTTTTCCTCCCTCAGGCTTTAGTGAAAATAGGTCACTGTGATTGTGACCTAAAGGGTTTTTATTAGTTTGTTCTTAAGTTCTACAGTCATGCTTAAAATAAGTAAGAGGGGAAGCAGAGAGCTGGTTAATGTACATTCACACAAGGACACAGAAAAGCTGTACCCTCTCAGCAGTAGCTCTAAAACATGGGTGGGAACAAGGTAGCAAGTGGTCAGATGAACAGGCAAAATTTCAGATACACACTGAGAAAATGTGTGATACTGTTCCCATTAGAATCCTCCATATTATTATAGATTTCTGCTTCCTTCCTATGTTCCTATGTCACTATGATTTAGTCATATCAAGGAAGAAGCAAAAGATAGTTAATCCACAAACAGAATGCAGATTTCCAAAAAACAAAGTTTCTATAAATGAAAAATTTTATGTGAATATAAACATATGGAAAGAGAGCCCTAACCGAATGAATAGCATCTAATTCTTGCCTTGGTAGAGTTTGCTTCCATGGGCTTTGGCCCCAGACTCAAGCGGGTCTGTCCCATGAACAACTGTCAAAAAAGTCGCCAAGGCCTGGATTGACCAAGGCTCTAAGAATGGTAAAGAGGTTTGGCTAATTATATAATAGTGTTATGACAACCCAGGAAAATCTGGTTTGTCACCTTTATTTACCAGAACCATCTAAGACCCATCCATCATTGACCAGCAGCCTGAAATCAGTTTCAAGGTCTGCCATCCATCAGGGAAATTCAGGCAACAGCCTGACCCAGGCTGGCTGGGCTTGGGGCTGATGGCAGTGATGACAGCTTCCAGCCCTTGGCTGAGGCTATAAATGAAGTGATGGTTTGGAGCCATGCACACTCCTCTAACTTTTGCTGAACTGCCCTACTTGAAGCACAAGTACTGAAGCCAAAGCCATGTCTTTATATTTTACTTCAGTTACTTGAATAGAATCTGGTTTCATAATTGTATATTTCCCCCTTCCAATTTGAAATAATTGGCTTGAGGAGAAAAAAAGGGAAACATTTCAAAAACAACTGTTATTTGGCTATATTTATTTGAGCAATGGGGAAAATGAAGAGAAAAGAAGATTTTTATCTTCTGTTCTGATGGTTTTCCCTCCAATTAGAGGACATTTGGCATGTTCTTAAATGAGTGAATGGGTAATACTTTCTAATTTTCATAATTATAGAAAATATACTGGTTTCTGCCACTAGCAGAAATAATGTGGGTCCCAAGCAGCTATGCTTTGTTTTTAGATGAAATACTGCTCTTCAATAAGCTTACCCCAAAACTTGTGGTGTCCCAGATGAGCCTATTTGATACACACTTATGGTAAGGTATCAGAATCTGGGAACATCTTGGTAAAATAAGATTCTGAAATTCTTGGTAAAATAAGATTCTGAGATTCTTCAACTGGCAATCAGCAAGTACAGGCCCGTTGATTCACATCCCTCCACACCAAGTGCAATGCAATAATGGGTCACATAAACATTGGTGAGACTAATGGCATATTCTCTAACCACTTATTTTTCCACTGTCGGGTCCAATAGTGATACTCCTTGCACCTAAGTAATTTTCACATCTGAGGTAGTAAGGCAAACAAAAGACCCAGAAGCTAGAAATCATCTCTCACTTCTTATTTCCGAGTCCCTTTCTGACTCTCACCTCCAGGCTGGCGATAGCGCAGGTGCCTAGGCGTCGAGGGCGACCTGCCAGGTGACAGTTCCGTGGCGTCCACCGCAGGGGAGCTCTGCACGGCCGCTCGCTCCACGGGGGCAGACTCGAGGACTGCTGCTTGAAAAAATCGTGAGTTTTAACAAGCAGTCTGTACATTCAGAAGCGTCTTGTCAGTATCGTGCACAGAAACACAAACGTTTGTTACGTATGATAAGCGCTGGCCTACATGTTTAGAGGAGTTTCATCGGAAATGGAGTCCTTCCTCCTGGCCTCATGCTGATGACACTAAATCTAAATGTACAGCTTCCCCACCCATGTCTTGCTGACCCTGCTGAGCCTGATTGACTCCGGGTAGCCCCATCTGTCCAACACAACGGCAGATGTTCAAAGCAACAGGGGATGGGGAGCCGTCTCCTGCCCTCCAGAATGGTTCCGCCTACTTCGAGTGGGGAAAGAGGAACTTTTCCAGAGTGTAAATCAGTCTGGGATCAAAATTGGGGCTTCACGAGTTCTTGGCTAGGGCTGCCCCTGTAAGCCAACTAAGTTTGCATCTCAACCAATGTGGCTCCTGAGGACTCCTAAGGATCTAGAGCTGTGCTGTGCAAACTGGTAGCACTAGCCCAATATGGTCACGTAGTCCTGAATTAAATTAAAGTTAATTTAATATTTCTGGCCCTCTGTGGCACTAGCCACATTTCAAGTGCTCGGTAGCCACCTGTGGCCAGTGGCTGCACTCCTGGACAGCATACACAGAGAGCATTTCCATCCTCACAGAAGTTCTATTGGAGAGCCCAGACCTAGAGCTACAGATTAGCAGGAGGCAAGAGGAGAGTTTGACAATGAACAGCTGGACGGTTTGGAGATAATTTAGCCTCTTCACTGCAGCTAACATACCATGAGTAAAAGATACATCCTGCTAGGGTCACACCTAGGCTCCCATCTGGCTTATTAGTCAGGTAAAACTACAACATCCTGTGAGTTCTTTCAAGGAATTACACCACAGACATTTCATAAATTTCTAACAATTCTTTCTTTTATTTTTTTCTTGGGCTTTCATTAACCAACGGAAGCTGTGTCACCTCCACTGGTTTTACATGACCCCTGTCAGCAGAAATACTCTCCACAACTCCCTTTGCCATTCCATTCCATTCAAGATTTCGCCGATAAATTTTACAAAACTCCTAATGACTTTATACAAAGCCATTTTCACACTTACATGTGATTTGCTCCCTTAGAAATATGGCGACAATTTTGCCTTTTTGAAACACACAAAGGCTAGGGGAGGGAAATGGTTAGCATTTTCCTTGAATGACATAATTATAGCAAAGCTGGCAATGATGCAGGATGCAAACCAAAAAAAAAAAATTAGTGCTTAGCTGTTAGTTTTATTATTTCCTAAATAGCTCCCTCAAAATTCAGTAACGGAAGGCATCTGCTCTGCAAGAACAAGCAGAATATCAAATACATGTCCTTGTTCTGATCCAACCATTCATTCCTCTGAGGCAAGGAGAAAATCATTTAGTCAGCAATTACACTGAGCTCAAAAAACTTCCCAGTGAGCTGAACAGGCCCCGAACATCCACAGAAAGAACAGGAAAGCTAAGAATAACAGTGTCGGCAGATCAACACCTATAAAGAGAAGAAACCATGCCCAGCAATGGTGGGGGCAAAGAAGCATTTCCTTCTGGCCTGTTCACTTGTAATCAAGTTCCATGCAAATAGCTTTGTCTGCAGGACAACTGGGAGAGCTGGTTCCAAACAAATGCTAAAATGGGGAGCACGTTCAGCCCACAAGGCAGGCAATTATCAAACCAAGAACACGGAAACAGACACCAGTGATGAAGGCCCTTCAGTGATGATGGGGTAGGTTGCACAGCCAGGCCCAAGGGAATGCTGACTGACTGGGCAAGGGATGGGGCCCCATTCAGTGGGCCTCTGCCCTGGGGTTCTCTTTCCTTGCCGGCCATTGCTTTGATCTTTATTGAGACTCCACCCTTGGATGGAGTCTGGATATGAATTGGGATGATATGTGTGCTTTGTAGAAGAATGCAGGGAAAGAGGAGGTGGGACTGCCTGCTAGCAAGGAAGGAGAGGTTGAATGATTGCTAGGTTAGTCCGGAACAAATGGAATGACTGGGTTAGGGGAAAAATAAATGGCATTAGTTTTCCCCTCACCAGTTCACAGTTTCACTCATTTTTAGAGATATTTCCCATTTCTCTTATTTCCCTTCTTGTCACTTGAAGTTCTCTTGCTAGGAATTATGGCAAGGCTAGCTTTAGAACTACAATGGCCATAAAACTTGACAAAGGTCACTAGCCTTTTTCAAAGTGCGCTCCCGGAAACTGTGTAGCTGGATGGCAGTGAGAGAGAACCCTGCTTCAGTGTTGACCTAACGGGAAGAGCTGGCATCACGCAGTGAGGCTGTGTAGTGCTTTACCCTGAAGTAAAAAGCAGAAAAATGTGTACACTGTTGGCACAGGATTCTTATTCAAGTTTGCCAACTGTTTTAAGTGTTAACATTATGCAAAGCACAAGCAAACATCTTTCAAATTAAAGGCAGATCCGCGTCTCCCTTTTCTTTGCCAATTGGAATTTTCAAGACTAGACAGTGGAGTTAGCACAGCAGCACTCTTGACTTCTACATCGTTGCACGTACATGTGAACACGCGCACACCCACACTCATATACACCCACACACGTGCACACACCTACTCTGCGCTTGGCCAGCTGTCGCTGAAGTGAAGTGTTTCATCCCTGACCTGCCTAGAACTATTTATGACCCAAATGAACCCTTTTCCAACGCAAAATAAAATTAAAACCATGTCTGTAATTCCTTTGTTTCAACATTACTTCTAAGCTTCCAACTCACAGTGTTTTCTTGATAAGGACCCACAGGATAAATTGTTCTCAAGTCTCAGTAAAAAAAAAAAAAAAAAAAAAAAAAAAAAAAAGATGTGCCCACACACCAATCTATCTTAGGTTTCAATAGGGAATCATGTAACTGATTACATTCAGAACCAAAATCAGGACAACTCGGAACTACAGCGAACCACACAGTATTCATTTGTTCACTAACCATACACTTAGCCTCCTGCAATTATTTTCATTGCCTAATTTCCTCATCTATTATATTTTATATTTTATTTTTTAGCTCTTGAAGGCAATCTTTTTTTTAATGTGTGGATTATTGCTACATAGTTGTATAATTATTTTGCTGACATGAATTGTCTGTACACTTATTCATATACATTTTAATAAAGGCAAATTTTCAGAAAAAAGTTAACTTAAAATGAATAAGTAGCTTCTGGATCCCTTCCTATGAGAAGAGTGAATGAGGAGCTCCTTGGAGAAATGACATTTGCTAAACCTGTGTTGTCCAAAACAGAGACTATTGAAAGTTAAATTAATTAAAATCCAATAGAAGTATCAATTAAGTTGCTGTGTTACACTAGCAACTTAAAAAAAAAAAAAGTCTTTGTTGTTATTTTATTTTTAATCCAGTTGTATCACATGCCTGTTTGAATGGCCACCTTAAATATTTTTAAGAACAGAATGGGAAGTAAATACATTAAAAGTCATCAGAAGACAGCTACAGAAACGGGGGACAGGTGTGGGAATAAAGATGCATAGATGTGGCCAAGAACAAAGTTCTTAATGGAAGTGCTGGGGGCAGTCATGGTAAAAGTGAGAGAGAAAGGGTGAGTGAGTGGGTGGGCAGGGGCACTGATCCCTCTGGAGTGGAGGCTGGCCATGAGCCTCGCCTAGGCACAATCCTGAACTTCCCCATCACCCTAGTGACAGGAGCTCTGCAGTTAGTCAGGATCTGGCACATCATAGTGACATTTCTAACCCATGAACCACATGGATAAATTAACCCTTGACAACCTAACTGCAAATCATTTGTTTTGAGGAAATCCATCAAAGAATGGAGGCCATAAGCCCTCAACTTCAGCTATTCCTGTAATGTGAGAGAGAACCGAATAACTTTACCACACCATTATTCATGGCTCTCCCCATCAAAGGCCCCTGGTCATAAATGATCAATGCTGCCACGTGACGAGCTCTCTAGTCACCACTAGCCGAGTCCACAATGATCCCACCTATGTCCAGCATCTGCATTGATAAGTCTTGGCAGCCTTTACTAGTGTCCTTCCCTGAGAGCTTGGTCTAGTTATTTCTCATTTATCTTGATATCCCTGAGTCTAACTTTCTCCAGAGGAAAAACTACTGATTCCTACTAGGGACCATACCTCCGTCCATCCTGTAGTCAGCTGAACAGGCTTTAGGATATGGCATTGGGCCATCTCCATAAACTCTGGACTTGGGCTTTGAAAACCAGAATCAGGGAACTTGGTGACTAATGCAAAAAAAAAAAATAAATCTGTGTATAACAAATTAAAGCAGTGATTTTCGACTTTTTTCATCTCGTGTCACACAAAGTAATTACTAAAATTCTGCGGCACACCAAAAAATATATGTTTAGCTGATCTGACAAAAAAGTTAGAAATTTGATTCATTCACAGCAATTGTGATGGCTGTTGTCATTTTTTATTTGATAATCTAAGGAGGAAAGGGTCAGTGCCCCAAACTAAATAGTCAGGTTTTGCACATTTTAAAAGATGGAAGCAACCCAAATGCCTGTCAGAGGAAGAATAGGTAAAGAAAAGATGAAATGTATATATATAAATATATAAATGTGTGCATGTGTGTGTGCATGTGTGTGTGTGTGTGTAACGGCATGTTATTCACCCTTAAAATAAAGGGAACTTCTGGCACATGTTGCAACATGGATGAACCTTGAGACATGATGCTAAATGAAATGAGCCAGCCACAAAAAGACAAATACTGTATGATTCCATTTGCATGAAGTATCTAAAGTAGTTAAGCTCTAAAAACAGAAAGCAGATGGCAGTTCCCAGAGGCTGGGGGGAGAGAGAAATGGAGCACCGTTCAATGGGCATAGAGTTTCAGTTTTGCAAGAGGAACAAGTTCTGGAGATTGGTTGCAGAACAGCATGACTATACTTCATGATACTGAATTATACACTTAAAAATGGTTTAAATGGTAAAGAAGAACAAAAAGGAAAAGAGTGATTTTTTTAGGAGAGCCTTTTTTTAAGTTTCCTCACTACTAGAAAGCCCTAGAAGACTAGCGACAGGGTCTGCTCTGCAGATCTGCTCATAGCATCAGAATTGGACAAAAGCTGTCCTTTCTGGCCCAGCCGGTGTGGCTCAGTGGTTGAACATTGACCTATGAACTAGGAGATTACGGTTTCATTCCCAGTCAGGGCACATGCCTGGGCTATGGGCTCAATCCCTGGTTGGGGGCATGCAGGAAGCAGCCGATCCATGATTCTCTCATTATTGATTTTTCTATCTCTCCCTCTACCTTCCTCTCTAAAATCAATCTCTATATATAAAAGCCTAAGTGACCGTTATGATGTGTCTACTGAATGACCAGTTGACAGGTCACTATGACACACACTGACCACAAGGGGGCAGACAGTCAATGCAGGAGCTGCCCCCTGGTGATCAATGAGCTCCCACAGCCAACCTCCTGCAGCCAGCCAATCTCCCACAGTTCTTCCCCCTGGCCAGATGGCCCTGATCAACCCCAATTGCTGGTCAGGCTGAGAGACCCCACCCATGCATGAATTCATGCTTCGAGCCTCTAGTCCTGTATAATAATAGAGGAAAATGCAAATTGTCCAGAATGCTATAATGTCACGACAGCTCAGCAGGCAGCATGCTCAGCAGGCATGAGTGGGTGGGGACTTGCAGTGTTGGGGGGCAGGGGTGGGGCCACAGCAGGGGTGAGGCAGGCACACACAGAGGGAGGCCTCCACCATGGCCCAGCCCAGGGTCTGCAGGTCTCCCCCTGCTCCGGCCTACCTCTTTGGGGCAATCTATCAAGGAACCCTGGATGGGTGGGTAGGGCCTACCTCTTTGGGGCAATGAATCATGGGGCTCTTGCACTGTGACAGGGCAAAGACCAGGCTGGGGGATTCCTCGCCCCCCCAAGTGCATGAATTTTGTGCACCAGGCTACTAGTGTGTGTGTGTGTGTGTGTGTGTGTGTGTGTATCCATTAGCATATATATATATATATATATATATATATATATATATATATATATATATATACACACACATACATATATATATATGTAGAAGCTGTCCCTTCAGAAGCAAATGATATCTTCTGCCCTAAAAAATGGCTTTCACCAATTGGGTTTAACAATAGCCCTTTGCTCATATGTTCACTCACCTCCAACCCACTTATCCATTCATGTTAGTGACATGTCCTGATTCTACTCAACCAGGCATGATCTCCAGTGCTTTTCAGCCTCCAGAGCACTCTGTCTACTCCTGTACTACCTCCCTCCCAGTTATGTGGTGTCTATCTTCTCCACATAACTGGAGTGTAACGGGCCAGGACACCATCTTATTTACCGTCATGCACACTATGGCACAATAACCGGCACAGAAAAGGCAAAGCAGTGACTCTTGAACACACCTCCCATGTTCTAATTCCAGCCCCAGAGGCACTCAGACCACAGCCTCAGAGACACAAATGTCAGACACTCACACGCTTATTCCTGAAGCTCTTTGAATTCAAAATAGCGCAAGAATCTAGACTTATCTTCAGATTTCTCCTCCTCTGTTTACTGCAATCCAATAAAAGAGTGGAAAGAACTCCCCACATTCTGGGAGACTCCTGTAGCTCGCAGGGCACCCTGCCTCAGAGGAAGGGCTGAGAAAGCCTCCCTAAGCCATTCTATTTGAGGAGGTGCCCAGGCACAGGTGCCGGGTCAAACCCCAGGGCACTTGTCAGCTTGTGTTCTGCCTCATTATTCTTGAGAGGAACCCATCACGATTCTGCTGAAAACTGTTGTTCTAATGACTTTTTAATTATCTTCCTCCTTTCTTCCTCCTTAGCTGCTCACTTGTCAGTTTAATTAAAGAATTTCTTGTTTAAAGGGTGCTACTTTTGATGATGACAACCACTCCAGTTAAAATTCCACTAAGTACTTCACTTAATGAATGAAGCTAGAAAATTCAGAGAAAATTCAAGCAGATGAAAAAGCAGGGATCTCTGTTTCCATCTGGGAGATCCTCCTTGAAAATTGGACACTTTGTCTGATTAATTTCTCGATTTTTATTTTGTTATCAGTAAGTAAAGCAGGTATTCTACAGATAAATAAATAAATAAATAAATAAATAAATAAAGCTGTTTGCTAATTTGGCTGTGAAACCTTTTTGTTGTTGTTTACATTACAGAAATACTGGATTATGGAAGCAACAATGGTCACCTCCTCCAACCCCTATCTACATTGTACCAAGCTGAGGTAGATAAGGTGCTATGCCATAGGACCCTCAAATAGGTCACTGAGAGTTTTGCTTGATTCATTCATTTAACAAAAATTTACTACCTGCCAGGCACTGGCCAAGGCACTGAGTGTACAGAGTGCACAAGATAAGATAAGGTTGTTAATCTCATGGAGCTTATATGGGGGAAGCCTGTCCAGGCACAGGGAAGAGCAGGTGAAAAGGCCCTGAGGCAACAATGATAGAGATGCTTCTGAGACACAAAAAGGGAATCAGTGTGACTATAGCCTAGTGGACGAGGGAGCAGAGCAGGAGCAGAGGTTGAGAGTGAGATAGTATCCCAGTCTGAGAGGGTCTGAAGGCCTTGGCAGGGAGAATGTACTTTAATTAAGTATGATAGGAAGTCTTTAGAGAATTTAATCAGGAAACAAATAATCTAATCTACCTTTTTATTTTTTTAATCTACCTTTTTAAAAACCATTTTGGGTGCCAAGGATAATAAACACTGTCTCGGATTTGATTTTTCTTCTTATATCTCTGCTGTAACATGGAGTGTTGCCTTGGTAACTAAACTGAAGAAACCTCCTTAATGCTTCCAGGCTAGATCATCCTTTGCAGGGGAGGCTGGGAGCAGTGCAGGTGCGTAAGGCAAACACTGCAGAGAAAGAAGGCTGTCAGGGCCAAGCTCATGGTGGAGGTGGCCCCAACCTACCTCTATGCGGAGTATCAGGCTCAGCAGGTTCTTTATCCAACCAGCCTTAACCATAGTTTATGAAGAACCTTCCAATAACACCATCCAGATCATGCTATTCTCCCATAGACTGCAGTCAGCTTTTACTATAGAAGGCAGGAAGAGAACAAACCTGGATCTCTTTTCCACAAAAGCTAGCGGGAACTATAGGACTTTTTCTTTCTAACTACTCACTGCATACATTCTACTACGTTCTACGCAGAAGTAGGAAAGTTGAAAAAAAAAAAAAAAAAAAAAAAAAAAAAAAAGGAACTAGGGTTCCAGAAGGAGCAGCGGGAAAGCAGGTGGCCAGCAAGCACGGGGTGTGGCAGCTGGACAATACCTCTTTGAATACTTCGTTTTAGCTTGTTACACAGATCCACGCGGGGGTTATCTACATGCTCTTCTACACATCCCGGGCTTTGTTCTGGAGAAGAGAGGCTTCTGCTAAGATCCAAAGGTACTTTACCAGTGTGCGGCGGTGGGGACACCACGGGGCTGTGGGTGGTGGTGGGACTGCTGGACGCCGAGGCGGTGGTCAGGTCCAAGGCTCCTATCCTTGCATTCAAGGGAGAAGTCAAGGACAGTTTTCTGACCCTCACTGGGGAGGATGTTCTGGACACGGCTCGGGGTGGTGGGGAAGAGAACTTGCGACACAGCCGTGGAGATTTGCCATCCGCCAGATGTTCACCTCTGCTGTTCTGGCTGGTGGCGAAAAACAATTCCAGTGACCTGGAAATATGAGCAAAAGCCATCAACAGATTGTAGCCGAGTGAAAATGATTCCCCCGGCGTCATTTAAGAACATATCCCCGACATTAAAAGGCCACAATATCATTGCACGTTTGTTGCTGGATTTCCTTCATGTCAATGCCACCTGTGTTCCACACTTGCCAAAAAGAACACAGATACTTTGCAGGCCATGTCTAATCCCCAGCTACTAAGCTGTGGTCCAAAGACAAGGAACATGGGTGTCTCCGGGCAGCTTTTAGAAATGCAGACTCAGGCTCCCCTCCAGACCTGCAATCAGAGCCTGCAATCAGAGCCTGCAATTTTGCATCCTATTAAAGTTTGTGCATATTCAAGTTTGAAAAATACAACTGTAAAAACAATAAAATAAAATAAAATAAAATAAAATAAAATAAAATAAAATAAAATAAAAATAGAAAAGCCTCAGACAATGGAGTTAGCTTCCAAGTAATCACAAAGCAAGCAAAGGCCACTTGGGGACTTAAGGATTCTCACATTCGTCCCTTGAGACCTATCTGAGACCTCTACTCACCTGCCTTCTACTGTTCGAAGGCGAGACAGTACCCTCCGAGCAGCTCTGCAGAGCTGGGCAGCTCACCTGCGGGAGACGCAGGAGCCAGGAGGCCACGCTTTCATGGGAGGCAAAGCCCGAGGCCTACCTGACGGGGATGGAGGTAAAAGGCTTCTTGTATATGTCGGCAAGCTTCGCCAGCACCTGGGCTGCCGTTGTGAAGATACGATAGGTGTGCAGAAAGGTGTTGAGGAAATCGATACTGAGGAACCGCAAGTCGGTCAGCCGCTCCAAGAGGCGCTCCACGCTGGCGTAACGGATCTGGGGCACTTTGCAGGAGTTGAGGGTTTTACTGAAGCAAATGTCAATGTCATCTTTATGAAGACGGGCATCAGACCTGCGCACAGAGCAGGAACATGAGAACAAGCCCAGGGCACGTGCCTCTCGACCACAGCGCATTTATGCGCTGCTAAGCACACACTTGGGTACGGGCCTCCCACCGCATTTGCTAAAAGATGTTGATATGACACATTACATAAAACAAGGCAGGGCTATGAAAACATCAGCTATGCCATTATCATTTAGGAAGGTCGGAACGGATTGTGGAGAAGATAATAATCGCTCATTCATGTTGTGGATTCCTTCTGCAGGGGGAGGAAAAATAATTTCCCTCTGCCCTTTTGAGTTCTTGGCTGAGACCCCTGTAATAATGGACAGATTAGCCAGAACTGGTTTGGCTCAGTGGATAGAGCATCAGCCTGCGGACTGGAAGGTCCCGGGTTTGGTTCCGGTCAAGGGCATGTACCTTGGTTGCAGGCACATCCCAGATGGGGGCTGTGCAGGAGGCAGCTGGTTGATGTTTCTCTCTCATCAATGTTTCTAGTTCTCTATCCCTCTCCTTTCCTCTCTGTAAAAAAAAATCAATAAAATATATATATTTAAAAATAATAATAATAATAATAATGGACAGATTAGCAAGAGAAAAACAAACCATGTTATTAACATGGATACATGGGAATTACCCAAGAAGAAATGAGTAACTCTCTGAGGAGGCTTAGATTTAGGATGAAACACCATCTTAACAGGGGAAGGGGAGGAGGAATGGCAGCCAATTAAAGAAGAGTAAATTATTCGGGGGGAAGTTGAATGGGTCTCTAGAAGAACAGATGGAAGATAAAATAGTGTGTGGCAGTGCATCTGGGGGTGGTATTGACGTCTAGTCTCCTCTCCTGTGATAAGGTAAATCCTCTCTGCTGGGTGAAAATCCCTGGGAAGGAATTTTTGACAATTAAGTACCTTTTGGAGGATCTGTCTCTAGGCAGATAAAGGGAGTTTAGAGAAAGCCTCTTCTGGCATTAGCTGTTTTTCAAGTTCCTATTGCTCAAAATAATCAATATGACAAAGTGCCATATTTTGAGGTGACATGATCTGTTACCCTTCCCTTCTCTCTCTAGTTCAATCATGTTAAGAAATGAGGCCAAGCCGAAACCAGTTTGGCTCAGTGGATAGAGCATCAGCCTACAGACTGAAGGGTCCCAGGTTCGATTCCGGTCAAGGGCATGTACCTTGGTTGCGGGCACATCCCCTGTCGGGGTGTGCAAGAGGCAGCTAATTGATGTTTCTGGCTCTCTATCCCTCTCCCCTCCTCTCTGTAAAAAAATCAATAAAAAATATATATATTTTAAAAAGAAATGAGACCAACAGCCTTTAAATCAGAATATCAGAAATGCCCTTAAAAACTAATGGATGACATTCTCCCCACAGAGGGGTGAGGAGAGGAGAAGAGACAGATAACACTGCTATTTCTGTGGTTATTTTTTTTTTCCTCACTTCTACTTTAGTGCATTTGTGCTTCCCCTTATTTCTTGACTAGACTGACTAATAGATGATAATATAAGGAATTTTCCCCTCTAGAACTGGCTCTTTACCAATTCTACTGTTTTTCTATGTTTTAATTTATTAATGTCTGTTCTTATCTTATTTCCTCCCTACACTTTCCATACAGTTTATTTTGTCATTCTTTCTTTAACATCTTAAACTGAACACTTAGTTCACTCCATGCTTCCTGGATTACTGCATTTAAGGCTATCCATTTTTATGAGTACAATTTAATCTATAAGTTGTGTAAAAGGCCTTCTTTCCAATATTTTGCAGTATTAAGCATGTCTTCATTTTTTAAAAAAGTAAAATGGGCAAAGGGGGTCAATTGTGCGGTGATGGGTAGCAACTAGACTTAGGGTGCATCGCTTTGTAGTGTGTACAAATCTTAAATCGTAACGTATAATATACCTGAGACTAATATAACGTCATGAACCAACTTTACTTCAATAAGAAAAGTAATGGATGAAACATAGGCTGTGAGCCCTGGCAGAGGTGGCTGCGAGGCTCTGCTCCTTCTCATTCTATGAAACCTCCCTCCTCAACCTGATGGACTGACCCACTGGGAGCCGATGGACAGCAGACTGAGGAGAGGACTCTCAGCAGCCCTCAAGACCCTCTGCCTCGCTCAGAGCCCCCAGCCCGTGGTGTGCATTTGCAAAAAGGGCAAAAGAGGCCCTCAGAGCAGCAACGTTGATAAGAGGAAAGACTTCGAAGCAGAGGTTGAATCAGCATGAGGCTCAGAGAAATGCCCATCTTTGCCAGGACTGCCCTGAGCTTGCACATTCCCTCTTGAGAGCCTTTGTTCCCTTTCCTTGCAGCATCTCAGAGAAGGCAGTCAATGAGCCCTGGGTTTCACCACTTGATTAAAAGATATGCTACAGGGCCGGTGATGTTCAATGGGGTAATTGCTTGCTAAGAACCAGTTGGCTTGTTGTGTGAGTGCCCTTAATTATCCCTTTCAGCACTTGGAGGGGTTTCAGATTATATATTTATTTTCTCTGGGATGAAAAGGAATCGATAGCTTTCTTAGCTTGCTCTTGGAAGCTTCCCACCCCAAAGTAAGCTCAGTGCAGGTGGAAGGATTTCCTTTGCAGGCCTGAAATGGCATTTTAAATGAGCGGCTCAGCCCTGCTGAGGAATCGACTAAGGGTGGGCTGCTAGTTTTAGTCTCGTTACTGATATTGAAAATGCACAAGCACATCTTTGGGGATTCTTGAAAACTGCATGTCTCTTTTTTCCACTCACTATGTGACCCTCATCCAACTATACTTTTCTGGTTCTTCATTTCCTCACTTGTGAAAAAGACCTTAGAAACTTTTGTGAATCTGTCTACTAGTAAAGATGCCTGACTAAGGTATTCACTTTTTCTCCCACCATTTTCCACCAACGAACTCTATTTTCTAGGAAAGTTGAGGTTAACTATTATTAAAGGAAAGCAAACCTCAACTTATATATATGAAATGTAAAATACCACTTAAAGAGATATTTTCACCTTTTTAGTGTCATGATTTTGCATTTTAATTGTACTTTGAGATTTGTATCTTTTTAAAAAATATGTTTCTATTGATTTTTTTAGAGATAGAGGAAGAGTGAAGGATAGAGAAATAGAAACATTAATGAGAGAGAAACATCATTGATCCACTACCACCTGCAAGCCCTCCACAGGGGATCGGGCCTGAAACCCAGACATGTGCCCTGGGAAAGAATCTTGGGTCCTGGGTTTATGCTCAACTGCTGAGCTACACTGGCTAGGCAGATTTGCAACTTTTGACTATAATTATTTTAATCAAAACACTAGGAGGATAAAATATGTTGCAACCAACACGAAATTAAAATAAAACTGACTAATTACACCACTGTCCTTCAAAATTGTAATCACATTCATTTTAAGTAAAGAAAATAAATTAAATATTATGAAATTATTTAATTTTCTTTTATTACATCAAACAAGGTCTTTATTTCCTAAGGGATTCCCAAGAACGATATAATGTTGTTACTTATGATAATAAGTCCTTTTTTGTAAACACTTAAAAGAAATCTTAAAACATCAAACTCATATCACCTATTATATTAGGAAGTTTTCAAAGGAAGTGAATGCCTGCAAAGTGATGTCATGTCATTAACAAGACACAATTAAGACAGGATAACTTTTTTAACTCTGAAAAATTTCATTCTTAACCCCCTTACCCCGCCCCCGGTGTACTGCCAAGGAGATGCACAGGGAGGCCAGAATACAGGATTTAGGGTAAAAGAGGGGCACAGAGGAGACTATCATAAGGAACAGAAATTACAAAATCATCCCCGTTTTCTGATTGAGGAGAACCAGGCTCAATGAGGGAGAGGAAAATAGAAGAGTGAAATACATGAAACTGCCTTGGGTATAATTCTAGTATAGTATAGATGGCATCAGAATATGTGTGACTGTCAGAAAATCCCAGTCCAAGATACAGCTTTCTGTTCTTATAGGAGATCGGTTCCTCCTCGTTCAAGCGTCACTTCTGTACCCAAAAGGCAGGAAAGCCTTGATCTGTATGGGAGGCAGTTACACAAACAAGTGTGGACATGGACGCTAGCCAAACTACCTTCACAGGGGAAAGAAAATGTTTTTGGGTACCAGTCATAACCGGTCAGGTGCAACACTGAAATTTAATCTGTATTAATTTTTTCAAGTCAACAAGATATGTAAGTTGTGGGTATGCAACTGCCCTGCGGTGGAGGCTACCAAGTCTAACTTACATATTCTCATTCTAAAGCAGTTTGGACTGTCATGACTGTCTAACCTTCAAGAGAGTACTTTTTAAACAAATAACAATGGTAGATAATATATTGTGAATTGCAAAAGTAAGAATCTTATGAGTAGAAAATGAATAATAAAATTCTAACCCAATAATGTGAATTGTCAAACTAAGTCATAATATGGACCTTTTGATTTAATAGTTCATGCTTGGTTTTAATCTTAGCATCACATATTTTTAACTAATCTGGTTCTAAAAAGACTATACTAAACTAGAAACTTGGAAAACTGAACACTAAAGGAATCTTTGCCCTAGAGTTTAAAAATAATCCTACCACAGCCGAGACCGGTTTGGCTCAGTGGATAGAGCGTCGGCCTGTGGACTGAAAGGTCCCAGGTTCGATTCTGGTCAAGGAAATGTACCTTAGTTGCGGGCACATCTCCAGTAGTGGGTGTGCAAGAGGCAGCTGATTGATGATTCTCTCTCATCGATGTTTCTAACTCTCTATCCCTCTCTCTTCCTCTCTGTAAAAAATCAATAAAATATATATTTAAAAAAATAATAATCCTACCGCAAATCTTTAAATTTAACTAGTAATTCAAAATACTATCATTCTTTCATCATTTTTCTATTGTAATTATGACACTAGTATAATGTACTTGCCTCCATCTAACACAATATTTAATGTTTTAAAACTTTTACCATTCGAATCATGCTAATTATAGCTACTACCTATGAAGAGGAAAGTTAATGTTATTCATTGCCTTAACAAAAATAGCTCAGACCCCAACAGAGTCCACAAAAAGGGGACAGAAGACAGACATTTTTAAATTTTAAAAATATATAACAACTGCTTTTATAAACACATTTTATTCTTAGAATTTGGAATGAAAATACCCAAAAGAACGAGATCAACAAATTGGTAAGCTACAGAATATTCCCAGATCAATTTCTGAATTTAGAAAGAAAAATGTACATAGAGGTGAAAGCGTTAATACAGAGAGCTATGGCACATAGCTATTGATATAGTTTCTCTTTTTAAATGACAGTTTCCCTATTGATCACTTGAAATTATAGGACTTACTCTGTTAAGAAAACAGAGAGCAGGCTGGCAGCTCTGGGAAATAGCCTCTAGGACAAATCCATGTACAGGCAATGGGTAGATGGTGCCATAGAACAGCCAGATGATTCATATTAGGTGTTTTTCAAAACCTAAACATACTTCTATAACCAAATCTGAGTGATAAGATTTATACCCACTGGGAAGACACTAAAAGCATCTGCCAACCTCTGACCTTGGACACAGCTGGCTGTCGCGACTTCTTACACTGAACTTGAAAATCTCAGTAAGTTTTCCTGAGTGAAGGCATATGTCACAGTAGGAAAAACAATGTTTCTATTCTGTGAGTCAATAAACTATACATCTGAAAAACCATTTTGATAGTCTTATTTATATTAGCATGTCATAAATTATCATATTGCTGTCAAGAAACATTCACAATATGAAGCAGAATGCTACTAAAGCAATATTTTATTCATGGTTTCACATTCTCTACCAGTTTGATCTTGATTAAAATGCAAGGGAAAGTATTACACCACTTACTTAATCATATGTGGCACAGTGACTTTGGAATTCTCTTCAAATACTATAGTCATTAAACCATTACACCGTATATTGTCCACACACTGTGAAATTAAAAAATAGACAATTACAACCCACATGAAAACCTAGGCAGATCATATATTCCCAGAATTGTTTATAGTCACAAAACAATTTAGTTTCTCATCTCTCTCCCTCCCTCCCTCCCTACCTCCCTCTCTTCTCTCTCTCTCTCTCTCTCTCTCTCTCTCTCTCTCTCTCTCACACACACACACACACACACACACACACACAAACACACACACACACACACACACACACACACACACACACGTGTGCGCATAAACATTATACCGTATTTTTCGGACCATAAGACGCTCCGGACCATAAGACGCACCAGTTTTTAGAGAAGGGAAATGAAGAAAAAAAGATTCTGAAACAAATAGTGTCCTAAAATATTTTATGTGCATTAAAACCCAACATCACAGTCATAAGCACATGTAATCAACCCTGTAAAGTAAACAGCAGCATTTAGAACCATTTTAGAGCCAGGCAAGCACACAGAGACCACACAGAGCCAGGCAAGTAAAAAAACTCTTTTTAAAAAGTATATGTGTAGGCTATATTTGGACCATAAGACGCAGGGACTTCCCCCCCCCCCACTTCTGGGGGGGGAAAAGTGCGTCTTATGGTCCGAAAAATACGGTACATTATGAACAGATTCAATGTCTAGATACCAAAACTGTGCACCTGGTCAATACCTGAGGGTGGGTATAAGGACTATGCTTTCCTACAATGTGGTTCCCAAGGTTTCTGACCACACGTCATGTTGTCACGGTTCTCTGGCAGGTGCAGCACTTGCTGAGAGGTTTATTAGGTTCTCATGGGACCCCTCTGCTGAATTCATTGCCCTACGGGTGGTGTGTGGCAGGCAGAGGAGATATGGTGGCTTCCTTCGCATAAATTCATCTTCTCTGTCACTAGCAAGCTCTGTGCCTGCTTCCTGGTGTTTTGTGAAGATTTTTTTTTTTTTTTTTGCCAATAAATTTCACATTTTACTAGTTTCTATAGTAGTTTTTATTGGCACCATGTTGGTTTGGTAAGGATGCATGGTGTAATTTCTATTTCTGGCAGACATCAAACTCTGTTCATCTTTTTCTCTTTTCTTTCTAAAAGGAATTTTTACTAATTTTCTCTGCCTTCTTTATTTTATATGTATGCTTTATCAATTAAAAATTTTCTCTTTGAAATTATTTTGGGTTAGAAAGGATTTATTTTAAATTATGCATAATCCCTTTGGTGGGAAAGCAGAAAATACAAAAGATTTAAACAATTTTAAAATCAGAAATTACTTCTAGTAACTAAAACACCATGTGGAGCTTTACACTGAGTGGCCAGATTATTATGATCTCTGAACGCATAATAATCTGGCCACTCGGTGTATGTATATATATTAGAGGCCCGGTGCATGAATTCATGCATGGGTGGGATCCGGCCAGCCTGGCCAGAGGGAGGGGACATGGGCAGTTGGCTGGCCTGCCTGCCGGTCGGTAGAACTCCTGGTTGAGGGGACAATTTGCATATTTGCCTTTTATTATATACGTTATACACTGAGTGGCCAGATTATTATGTGTTTAGAGATCATAATAATTTGGTCACTCAGTGGAGGACTACAATTAAATGGTGGGGAGAAGCTGACTGCCAAGTGACTTCACCTAGATTCTCAACTCAGAGTTCACCCTAAACTCCAACATCTAATGAAAGTGTGGATATGCATATAAGAAACTACAGATCACTAGCATCACTTGACTATTCAGTCTACTTAGTCTATCAGCCATATTCTTATTTTGTTTTTCCTTTAAAAAATTGTTTCCTCATGCCATTATTTCAATGACCAGGCACAGAGGATGCCAACTCTGGAAATAAAATTGAATATTTTTAAGTCCTCTTAAACTTACTTCCTTACACTATAGCACCTTGAAAGAATATAGGTCTTTTGTAAAAAGCAAAGTAATGTAATATGAACTTTCAAAAAGCTTGTACACACACACACACGTGTGTGTGTGTGCAGCTGCACACGTGAGCAAATGTTTTCATTGGAAGAAGTGGTAAATCCTCATGATCACATAAGCATGTATTTGGCAGTATTGGGGAGAAGTATTTGTGCCTAGAGAAAATGAACTCAATTCATTTGTTCAAGAAATATATATGAAAATAAGCGAAGTGTCACTTATCTTGAAGGGCAACGTTGAACCTTTGTGAACTACAGTAAACTTTGAAATTATGAGGATAAAAAGAGCAGATTCTTGGGCCATGGATACACTAGTTCAGCAGTGATGATGATAAGTAGGCCAGGGCTGGAAATATGTGTATTCACAAAAGCCCCAGGTAATTGTGATCCCTGACACTGACTTCTTCAGCAGGGTTTTTGAGGGGCTTGCTTCAAGCAATACCTATTCAAAGGTCAGTAGTCTACTATGTCATGATGTGTTGTTGTTTTTTTGCCTTCTTAATACATCTAGGTAGAGGGAAGAAAGGTTAGATTAAGTTTTTCTTTTTTAATTCACCTTTTTGTTAAAATAGAAAATTCCCTATTGATTCCAGAGAAACTATTTTAAGTGGGGGAAAAGCATGTCGGCATGCTACAAATTAGTCTAAACAGTTCTATATTTTGACACATCTGCCCAAATCGAGAAGCTCAGAGGTGAATTTTAATTCTGCGTTTCAGTTAATACCCATAATTATAGAAAGATGTGTTTAAGACACCATTATTGTATGACAGTAAGACAAGCACAAATGAAGGTACTATCTTAAAATGAATGGTCAAATCTCCAGTCTCAAGTTTTGTGGGGTTTTTCTTTCTATAAATAGATGGAAAAGGGAATAATTATTGGTCAAGACCATTAGCCACTTGTGAGTTTTGTTGGAGGTGCCAAGGGTTAATAATGGCCTTAATGGTGTAGCTAAAAGTGCAATTAATCATGGAAGCAATTGTAATTTCTAAAAACCACAGCTTCAGAGACAGGGCCTGACTTAGCCTACAGTGTAGAACAGAGCGCTTTGTGTGAAACTGGGATTGTGTCAATACTCTGGAGCCACTTGATTATCTAAAAATCATAGCCATGTGTGCTTAATGTAACATGATAGATTAGCACAGTGACTTAAAACCAAGTCACAAAGATATTAAGATTTAGCAAAATAAAGGATGACAAATAAAAAGACAAAATAATAGAAAACATAGTCGTAATAGGAATTGAAAGAAAAATGTTCATTTCTCTACTCTCAAGAAGAGCTAAGACGAATAAATGTCCATCCGGCACGAACGGACAAGAAATAGAAATAGTGGGAAATGGTCATCTCCTTGACGATTACAGACATGTAAACTAAAACCAGTAGGAAGCAATACTGCTTTTCCATTAAACAGGAAAATATGATAAATTGTGACAAATATGCAGCAGGACTTAAAAGAAAGCTACCATAGATTCCTCACTGATGGTGTAGTGAAATGAAGAGTTCTGTGCTTCTTGAAACATTTTGGTAGCCTGTCGAGTCATGAATTATGAAATCATGAAAGCGATCAGATGCCTGTACCAGCCTCACCGACTGTGGGAAAGATACACAGCCAGGAATCTTGAAAGGGAAAAAACTCTTTCAAAGATATTTAGCACCATGGCATATAATAATACTAAAACCAGGAAACTGCCCATATGATAAGCCTAATATTTGAAAAAACTAAAAAAAGTGGTACATTAATGTGGTAGAATATGCCTATATATAAATACATATTCTAATACATACATATATATATAGACATATATATATAGACATATATATATTAGAAGATACCAATATGAAGAATTTGCAGATCTATAGAAAGATGTATATGTATATATTGAGAGCCAAACTGTAAAATTATTTCTCTATAGCCAGACTGGAGGATTTAGAGATGGAAACAGCTGATTTTCAGGGTAAAGGTTTTCTGATTTAATTGTACTAAAAGGATCTTGGAGCTTGTTAAACCTTTGGGGTATCTGGAATGAGGGTTCACGAATCTGCATTTTTAAAAAGCCCCCAGGAAACTCTAACAGAGTCATCAGTGGCAATACTTCGATAAACATTTACTTAGTGTTCTGGGTGTTGGAAGTAATTTTAGTTCCCTTCTGTGTCCATATTTTTACACATACTAGTACATCATCAAATATTAAACAGTACCTTTTAAGCATTCAATAGATTCAACTTATTAATAATGAATATGTCCAGAGACATACTTGGGAGACTGATAAATTCCATCAATGTATGTATAGTACATAATTTCTTCCAAAAAATGAAAGCGCTTTACCCAGAGAGCAAAGCCAGCTGAGGTGCAGGCTGCTGGGCAGCAGGCCAGGCTCAGTCAGCAGGGGAGCACTGCTTCCCTACCACTCGCCATTCAAACCCCACACCAGCCAAAACCAGTTTGGCTCAGTGGTAGAGCTTCGGTCTGCAGACTGAAAGGTCCCAGGTTTGATTCCAGTCAAGGGCATGTACATTGATTGCGGGCATATTCCCAGTAGGGGGTGTGCAAGAGGCAGCTGGTCTATGTTTCTCTCTCATCGACGTTTCTAGCTCTCTATTTCTCTCCCTTCCTCTCTGTAAAAAATCAATAAAAAATATATCAAACCCCACACCAGGAAAATCACCGAGTAGCAGAGGACACTCATTAGTAGCAGTTGACAAGTGACCACTCCCTCCTGGATATATTTTATTCGTTGACTTCCAGGACAGCATGCCCTCTTAGCTCTCCTCCGACTGCACTGGGGGTTCCTTCTTAGTCCTCTTTGCCATTCTCCCTGATCCCTCACGGGAGCCATGGACCTCTTCTCGTTTCTGTCTAGTTACTCCCTGCGTGATCTCAACAGTTTCGCAGCCTGAAATATCACCTACATGGCAGAGCCTGGACCTAAACACTGAACGCCTATGTCCCATGGCTTAATAACAACTCCACTTAACAACTTCTTTCGTTTCTTTTCCCCTCGCTGACATTCTACTCAGCCACGCTGACTTTCATGGTATTACTCAATATATGCAGTGTCCTCTTGGTTTGGAGCTTTTGAAATGGCTGCTCCCTCTGTGTAGAATGACTTTCCCTTCACCACTTACCTACATGTTACTTCTATCACCAGCTAAAGTTGTTAGATGTCATCTTCAGAATGAGATGATGACAATTGAAAAACTATATCAACCCACACAGCCCCAGTAGCCCAATCACCTTCTTACCCTGCCCAATCACCCTCTAACATAAACAGTGTGTAGCCCTAGGTGATTTGGCTCAGTGGATAGGGCATCAGCCTGCAGACTGAAGGGTCCTGGGTTTGATTCTGATTGCGGGCTCGATCCCCAGAAGGGGGTGTGCAGTAGTTAGCCAATCAATGATTTTCTCTCATCATTGATGATTCTATCTCTCTCTCCCTCTCCTTTCCAATCTAAAATCAATAAAAACATTTTTAAAAATAAAATAAAAAATAATAAAAATAGCGTGTAAGTTATTCATTATGTTTATTTTACATTTTCAGTCTTCCCTACACTAGAATATAAACTACACAAGCAGGGGAATTGTTTGTCATCATTGACTCTTTTGTTCATGATACATCACAACTACCTAAACAGTGGCTGACATATAGCATCACCTGAATGAATTTATTTGGTGAATGAGTGCCATCCTAAGTGTTAGAGCCACATAATACCAAGGCTCTACTAAATAAAGTAATTTCATTTAATGATGTTATCATCCCTCAAAAAGATATAACTTTCTGTTAGTGTCCTTCTCCATATTTATAAATATATTCAAATGCAATTTAACATCCTAATCACAGAAAATTGGAGAAATAGGAGGAACTTGTACATTTCTGCCACAAGATGCCTTGAAGAGTCCCACTTGAATGCTTGTGGCAGCCAAAGCATTGAGTACCTATCTTTAAAGAACCATTCACGCATCCCAAGGACCCTTCTCTTTTGATAATGCCTCACTGGGAACCCTACGGTCACTTGAAGCTATTATCAATTTTGTACTGTAGGAGCCTCAGGTACATCCGAAGCTAGAAGCATGAAGGAACTAGAAAAACACCTTTGCCTGCTGCTATTCTCCCCACTCTTCCCACTCACCTTGGCTTCTTAACACTCACAAAGTTTTGTTGCATTAAGTTGTCTACTTCCTTTTGTTCCTTACTAGCCTGCCTGTCTTCTTGACAGCATGGCACCTACACAACACCTGGCAGCACATGGTGATCGCACGATCAACAGTCACGGAATCAGTGAATGATTCAGAGTGCCTTGAGGTCAGAGATGCATTACAAACAGAAACTAAAGTATTAATAGAACATAAAGTTAACGAAAGCACTAATAAATCACCACAAAGATGGAATTATGCAAATCTAGAAGATCCCACATTTTCATTCCTTCGTTAGCCAAAAAAGAAGTACCTCCACTTCTAGCTATTCACCATCAAAGTAGTAGTGGGCGTGTATAAGTAAAAATCCATCATTTCCATAAAGAATGTTGAGAGTGCTAATAAAAGACCCTGGATTAGATTTGAGTCCTGACTCAATTCAGTTATATAACTTTGGACAAACATTTAGCCTTCCAAATCTCAGGTTTTTCACCTGTGAAATGGGAATAATATTGCTGTTGACCTTCAGTATACTATTGTAAGGCTCAAATGAGACTAAGTCTGAAAAATTTCTTTGATGTATAAAAATAATTATTTTTCACATTTATTTTCTTTCTATTTTCCCTCAGTTTTCAGTTACTCAGAAAAAAAGCAGTTAAAAAACTATTGTATAATTCAGATTTTTACTTAAGTCTTATATAATAAATACTTTTCATAAAAAAGAGGCTAAAGAATCTGTAGTATATATCTTTTCCATTTACCCAATCCTCCTTGAGTTAACAACTTTAAAGATAATTATCAAGCCTTCTTTTAGTATTTTCCTTATACAAAATTTTTCTCCTGTATTGGTTAATAGAGTGAAGAGCTTGGGTAAAAAAAAAAAAAAAAAAAAAAAATGCCCAAGTCCAATCCTGACTAATTTTTTCATGTCTTTATTGTTGAAAGTATTACATATGTCCCCCTCCCCCCCCCATTGCCCCATGATAGCCCACCCCACCCCCACTTCAGGCTTCCACCACCCTATTTTCTGTATCCATGGGTTATGCATATATGCATAAAGTTCTTTGGTTGATCTCTTCCCACCCTCCCACCAACTCACCCCTGCCTTCCCTCTAAGATTCGACAGTCTGTTCCATGCTTCTATGTCTCTAGGTCTATTCTGTTCAACTGTTTATTTTGTTCATTAGATTCCACATATAAGTGAGATCATGTGATACTTGTCTTTCTCTGACTAGCTTATTTCACTTAGAATAATACTCTCCAGATCCCTCCATGCTGTCTCAAAGGGTAAGAGATTCTTCTTTTTAACTGCTGCATAGTGTTCCGTGGTATAAATGTATCACAGCTTTTTTGTACACTCATCTACTAATGGTCACTTGGGCTGTTTCCAGATCTTAGCTATTGTAAATTGTGCTGCTATGAACTTAGTGGTGCATACCTACATTCTTTCTGATTGGTGCTTTGGGTTTCTTAGGATATATTCCTAGAAGTAGGATCATTGGGTCAAAAGGCAGTTCCATATTTAACTTTTTGAGGAAACTCCGTAGTGGTTACACCAGTCTGCATCCCCATCAGCAGTGTACTAGGGTTCCCTTTTCTGCACATCCTCATCAGCACAATCATGACTAATTTTAACATTTTTCCAAATCCTGAATAAATACAACAATTCTCTAACTGGATACTGCTGATAAAGGAAAAAATAGCAAATTTGATTACTATTATGTTCCATATGAAATACAGGAGCTCATTTTCAGATTTTACACTACATACAGTATCTCTTGTCTGATGCAATTCCTTCCTTTGTGATCCCTCACCATAGCCCTTGTTAGCTGATTTTGTATTTCTCACCATTTTCCTACTTCAGAAACAAATAAAAAAAATTTCCCTGGGTTACTAGAGAATGTATTACTAACAGGGATATTTTAACTCCATTCAACACTAGTGATTACATTTAAAGATTGTACAAAATGCCCAGGAACTAAAAATGTAATTGGTACATTTTATGTAAATTTTAACCATAACAAGAAAAACAAACAAAAACAAACAATGAATGATTCTAGCATATCAAGATACATAGTGGTAGATGTGTTTTTAAAATAAAAATAAATTAACTCTAAAAAAATTCCTCTCCAGAAGTTAATGTTGTGAAACGTAAAACCAAAACAAGAAAATAAACTATGGCAAAAGCCACTTGCTTACCTGACTAATGTCACTCATCCAGGCAGCTTTCTCCTGGCGTGAAGGTGCTAGCAAGACTACAGTGAAAGGGGCGGCACCAGGAGGCTCCACCACTATTTTAAAATCCAGGTGTCCAAACACTTGCCCAGAACCTTTGGCTTCAACACACATAAACCAAACAATTAGGTGTGAATGCAAAATCTGAGTAACAGCTGCTTCCACGTAGTTCTAGTAATACGATCAGTGTCCAAGCCCAGAATCTCATTGCAATGATATGGCACCTCTCCAGCATGGGGGAGGCTTTGCTACGCTCATAAGCAGGTAAAAGGCTGAGATCAGTAGGTTACTCAGGGCTACGATCCCAGGCTCCTTCTCATTTCATGGTTTGTTTTGTTTTGTGTTTTAATTTCCATAATCTACAGAATTCTAAAGCTCTGCTATAATCCCTTTCTTTTCTGCCTAACACTGAAAAGTCATTATTGTGAGACAAATTTTGTAAACTGTGAATTCCCAAAGATGGTTTAACAAGGTTTACAGGTTAGATGGTTCAACAGAATTTTTCATATAGAAATGACTTCAGGGAGTTTATTCTCAGCATCTCTACTGCCTCCTTAGTTAGCTTTTCTTAGCTATAAAAAATAAAAAACCATAGGAATGCTTAATTCTAATGTAATTCTAAGTGATAGAATGTGACTTACAGTCATCATCGCTTGCGTCTGACTCCTCAATCAAGGTACATTCTATTAGAGAGAGAACCCCACCTGTCTGGAAAGAGCCAGTTTTCCATTAAGAGACTTGAGAATCATGCAGAGGTTCAGAAACTCTGATTTGAAAATCTTATACTCAAGTTGCCACAGCAGAAAGCATAACAATTCTACATCATAAATACACTTGTATACATTCCAAAATGAAATTTACATGTGTATAAACAACTGAGCTCATTTAATTTCATGGTTCTTCTCCCCAAACCACTCTCACTCCCAATGCTTACGAAATTTAGCAAGTCAGTCTATGGCAAACTAGATGGCCCTTAGGGACCCTTGAGAGTGCAGCTCAGCAGAGGTTGAGCTCATTAACCAGGAGGTGACGGGAACAGTAGAAAGCAAATATTTTCAGGCACTAATAACAGAAGGTATAGATAGGCAAATCATTCCTGTCAAGGGCCAGAAAGCAATCTTTGAGGTTTTGCAAGCCATCTGATTTCTACTGCAGCTACTCAAATCTGCCATTGTAAGAAGCATGAAAGCAGACACATAAAATGTGAACAAGTGACTATGGCTGTGCTCAATAAAACTTTATTAACAAAAATAGGCACTGTAATAATTTGACAAGATTGTTATAGCTCAGTAGTCATCAACTAGTAATAATTTTGTCCAAGTTAGGATTTTAATTGCACTTCCTAATGGTAATGCACATTTACATTTCTATTACTGTAGACCCAAGTGACAACATAGTGAATGTCAAGGGTGGTAACTGTACATGGCCTCACTTTTCAATTGCGATAATGTTTTGTGATACCAGGCATTGGAAAGTCACAATTAAATTAACCTGAATGTCTCTTGAAACATAAATAAAATAATCATGTAAAACCAGTACCTTGAGCAGATGCAGCTTTCCTCCTGAACTTCTTGTGCAAATTAACAAGTGTTTTGTAAATAAGAAGCATTGTCTTTCTCCTTCCTTTTTCAAAGACAATGAACCCAGGCGAACTTTACTAAGTTTCCCCTTCTCCACTGAAGGTACTTGAATAAGAGAACCTGGTGATCAGGAAAGTGGAGAATACATAGCAATTAAAATTCTGTGAAGTGAGAGCCCTTCCTGATGCAATAAACACCAATGATTCACTGAATACACCATTGGAACAAGTAAATTCCCTACATTCTGAGCAGAAGAAACCATATATTGTGTTTTTAAGAGTCATACTAATTCCTATTATTTTTATAAAACACTTTAAATTTGATTACTCATCTCTAAGTGGGAAAATAAGTTTGAAAGAAAGCCAAACTGAATTCAAAGAATGAGGATTGGATCTCAATCAACTGATTAACAGTAAGATACATATTGTATAGTCACATCTATATATATAAAAAGCCAGCTACCAGAACACCCACTGCTGCTAGCGAACCAGCTCGATCAGGGGTGGGGCCTGATTGGGGGCGGGGCCAGCTGGCCAACTTCCTGCGGCCCTTCCTGCCAGCCGGCCCCACCCTAATCAGATTCTCCCACCTCGATCAAGGGCAGGGCAGCCAACAAACACTGCCCCCTCTCAGCCCTTCCCCCTGGCAGGCCCTGCCCCCTGATGGGCCCCCACAATCCCATTGGACCACAGCCCCTCTCCCCAGCCGGCCCTGCCCCTGATCACACCCATCACCCCAATAGGGGGTGGGGCCAGCCAGCCCACAGCCTCTCTTCATAGGATGTTTCCACCTCCAGTTGGCCCCGCACCTCAATTGGGGGCAGGGCCCACTGGTCAATCACCTGTGGCCACTCCCCCCAGCCTGCCTGGCCCTGATTGGGCCCTGATCCAGGAAGGTCAGCCAACCAATCTCCCACCATATCCTCCTCCCAACAGGCCCAGACCTGATCAGCCCCTATTGGGGCCAGGCCAGCCAGACCCCACCAGTACACAAATTCATGCACTGGGCCTCTAGTATGGTAATAAAATAACAGTAGAAAGCATAAAGAGTTTAGTTTTCCTGAAGCACTGAAGAAATATAAATAGTATATTGATAGAATTTACATAGTATCTAAAAAATAGAATATCCAATACATGTATATTATAACAATATACAAATTATACAATTTAACACAATCTATTTAACTTGAGGACTATTTTTAAAATCCAATTATTTCAGGTTACATTTATTTTTATTTACTTTTTTATTGTTTATTTCAATTTATTGAGTGACATTGCTTAATAAAAGTATATAGGTTTCAGGTGTACAATTCTATAATACATCATCCATATATTGCATTGTGTATTTACCACCCAAAGTCAAGTCTCCTTCCATCATTATTTATCCCCCCTATACCCTCGTCTACCTCCCCTCATCCCTCTTCCTCTCTGGGAATCACCGTGCGGTTGTCTGTGTCTATGAGTTCTGGTTTTCTTTTGGGGGTTTTGTTTCTTTGTTTATTGTTTGCTTAATCCCTTTACCTTCAGGTTACATTTAAACTGTGCAACAAAAATTCTTTGTGCAATCAAAATGGAAAAGAAACCATACAAAGTCTATACCCAGGGCATTCTTGTGAGCAAAACTCTCTTCCATTCCATGTGAGAAGCACTGCATAGCCTTTATATAATCTCACCCTAATGATGACCTCCCTCTCCCCACAAACAAAATTCCAACATAAATTAAATATGAAACCCCAAAACACTAAGATTTGTGCAAATACCTTGCCTCTGACTTCTGAAATGGCCTGAGCCAGTGTTATTTCTATTATTGGTTTAATCTATAATTTACCCAAAGTGCAGCCTTAGAAAGTTTCAGATCAGCCTCTTGAGAACCATTCAGTGCATCCTGACCCCTTAAATATTAACAGTGGGTCATCTCTAAGAGGTAAGGTAGGTTGCAGGCAGCCCTATTTTGTTTTTCATACAGTTTTTAGGTTCCATTATATTTTTTAATGAGCACAGAATAAAGTGAACAGAAAAGCAGTAAATTCTTCAAAGATACAAAATTGTAAAACTATGATTGTGGGTCACAAAATCTTCACATCTGAATATTCCAAATAGCATCTGAGAGGGCAGGGCGGGGTGAGAGGGCAGGGTGGGGCTGGGCCAGCTCCTGGTAACTGGACCCTAGCCCTATCCCAACCAATCAGGTCAGCCAAGGTAGTGGCACCACCCTCCCTATAAAACCCATTGATATGTTAAATTCTTTCTCTACTTTTTAATAAAGATCTAGGCCAAAAGCAGTTTGGCTCAGTGGATAAAGTGTCGGCCTGCAGACTGAAGGGTCCCAGGTTCGATTCGGTCAAGGGCATGTACCTTGGTTGCGGGCACATCCCCAGTGGGGGTGTGCAAGAGGCAGCTGATCGATGATTTTCTCTCATCGATGTTTCTAACTCTCTATCCCTCTCTCTTGCTCTCTGTAAAAAAAATCAATAAAATATTTAAAAAAAAAACATGTTTAATAAAGATCTAAAGGTGTACAGGTGGTAAAGGGCTCAAAGCTTCCATGCCCAGATTTTATCTATTTAGGTGAGTATTAGGTGAGGCTGTTTGACAAAGAGAGTAGGCAGCTATTGGGGCCTCAAGAATAGCATGGAAACCATCCTGGGGAGGGCATGGGACTGGGGAGCAGAAGGTGGGGGAAGGCTTGATTCCATTGAAGGGAACAGGCAAGAGGAGAGTGAATGAGAGAGGTGGCAAAGATGGGAGCAAACTGGCTAAGAACAGAGTCAGTAATTAAATTTCAAGCATAAAGAAGGGATGAGGAAAGCTCAAGACAGCACGCTTAGAGAAGTAGATGAGCAAGCAATTGCAGCAAAAAGATTGTACTCGTGGGACTTACAGGATGGAATCAAAGCCAGAGGAGATAATAGACACAACCAAACCAAAACAATGCAAACGTCCCAGACTATCTGTAATTCAATTACTTCCTACTTTCAGATTAAGGTCTGACTTTTTAAAACCACCTTTATTAGATAATTCCTAAACAGACAAACCAAACCAAACAACTCAGGAAAACACTGCTGAAAGGCAAATCAATAAATCAACATCAACACAATAACAACATCAAGTATATTAATAGCTGACAGGAGTGCCTTAAACGTGTGACACAGAACAATCGATAAATAACATCTGGACTTGAGTTAAAGGGAGAGGTGGCTCATGATTGATTTTCTTCCAGGCGCCATAAAAAAAAAAATGATTTAATCAACATATTTAACCTTCGGGCAGTTTTCATTATACAATAGATGTTTTTCACAAACTTAGATAAAAATAGTCTAAGTTTGTACAAATATTCTAAATGGTTATGTATAATCATCCTTTGCAATTAAAATTCCTTTCAGAAATCAGAGAAATAATAGAAATAAACAAGAGAAATTCTTGTTTCCATTTCCACATATTATAAAGCTCAAGCCAATTAGTATTCTTCAGTAAACTCTAAACACAAGAAAAATACAAAAGAAGACACCTTCCAACCCACATGCAATTGAACAAGCGTTTCCATTTAATCCCATGCCCATCATCCAGGTATCATGGAAAGCATTGTATTATACCAGGCAAGAGAGAATTCACAGACATTGCCCTTCAGAATTCTAATTCCTGGGAGAGACAGGCATGCAGACATGGACTTATAATATGCAAGAGCCTGAGACACATGCACCAAGAGGAAAGGGCCTTGGACACAATGAGGAAGGAAAATTCATTCTAACTGCATGGGAGGGGACGAGAAGAAGCAGAAATGTTAAAAAGGCTACTTAGAGGTGTCTGACCTAAGCCTGGTAGGACAAGTAGACAAAAGAGAGGGGTAAGGGCATTCCCAGTCACCAGGCTGGCAGACAACACACTAAGGACACAGAGGCAGGGAAGTGCTGGGAAGGCCAGAGCCGATATGGGACACAGTCTGTGCAGAGCAACAGAGGGGACATTCAGAAGGTCTGGTGTCGTTAGCGTTATACTCCACTATTGTTATTTTTTTAAATTAATAGTGAAAGCCCAAAATGAGAAAAGGTATTGTTTCCTACAATATACTTCCAAACTTTAACATCTGTGTGATTCCTCTCTTTGTAAATAAACAATGGGAAGTAGAACTGCATGTATTGTTTTTGAAGTATTCTGTGCAAAAAATTAATGTGCTCAGCACAAACGTTTGGTTTGATGAGCTAAACAATAGTTTAAGCAGCACATTTTGGTGTGCAACAGAAATGCAAATGATCTTCAAACAATATTGGCGTTTTGTAAACAGAAATTTAAGACTAGTCCCAAATTTCTGTGCCGCTCCTCACCAGGTTCAAAACCATACCAGTGTATAAAACACTGTCTCACACCAATTCCATGAGGCATGCTCCCCTCCCCGGGCGCCGCAGCTCTTAGAAATAAGCTGGGACGCGGTTTACTTTCTGCCTTGGTGAGAGCCGCGGAGAGGTATGCACCGCGAGGCTCTTCTTTCCCCATAGTTTCCAGCACAACTATCTTGAACCCTGCAAAAGCTCAGTTTACGGGGTGATGCTACCAAAGCACGCCCCACAAACAAATCGCCTTTGTCACTTCGAAAGGCTGGCAGGGGTCAGCATGGCATTTCCTGGTAACTGGAGCCACCAGCTGACTCCGAACATAGCGTGCGGGGCCTCCAGGAGTGCTGATGGAAAATGGGAACAGGACACCGCTGTTTTCACTGCGGACACTGTCCGCACTGCCACCTGCAAGGGCTTTCAGTAATGCAGCTTTCTCTCGGGCCTCCGCCTGGGTGTCACCACCTGGCACAGACACTCCCATCGGCCAGACAGACTGGAGCTGCAGAGAAAGTCTGGCCCTCTGAGGAGGACAGCGGGTCAGAACGTAAGGGGCTGGGCCATGCCTGCGGCACTAGGGGTGTGCTGCTGTTTTTCATGGCCCCTGAAAAGAGACAGCACGAAGGTGGGCCTGGATCACCGCCTCCCTCAAGCCCACAGGGAGGTCCTGCAGGAGCCGCACGCATCACACCGCTAACCCAAGCCCACTCCCAAAGGCTCTCCTGGATCTGATAACGTAACAAGCGCAGAGACCACTCGGATGGTGGGTGCGCGGCGTGAGGACGTACCTTGGCGGATGAACGTCTGGCTGGTGTCCAGCAGAATATCACAGCCCTCCACAATCATTCTCTCTATGGCAAGGTTCTTCCTTATGTTTTCAGTGTCGCTCACTTCGTCGTGCATTATCCTGTCGGACAGGACGCAGACAGGATCACTGTTAGAGATCTTTGTGCTGTTCTGGCCCGTGAACAAAGAGCCCCACCCGAGAGCGTGTATCCGTGTAAGTGGGGCTGTGAGGGAAGCAGCCTGGACGTCCCGGCCTCAACAAGCCATGACCCAAAGCAAGGCCAATGTGCACCGTGACCACAGACCGCTGGGTCCGTGATCAGGGAGTACCCTGGGGATGCTGCTGGTAAATGCAACAGGAAAGCAACATGTTATTTTCTGAAAAGCTTTCAATGGAGACTGAAATTAGGGTGCCATTTCTTAGAGGCGGGGTAAATTAGAAACCTTTATATCATTTATCCCAGATAAGGTAAGGAAGCACAGATATACACGACTATCTAAAACACTGGAAAGCTACTGATAAATCCAAGATATACATTCTCCAGCTCCCTTGCAAATGTGAATACAAAAATGCAACAAAAAGTCGTTTTTCTATTACACTGAAAGAAATGTGAACATTCTCCACCTTAATCCAAAGTCCACCCGATCTCAAGGCTATCGTTAAACTTTCGGGTGAATCTGAGAAGCTGTGTGTCTTGCCTCTTGTTCCCTAGACATACAATTAGGTTTCCACCGAAGACTAACTTGATGCTTTCCTGGAACAGGCTGCTAGCCTAGGTTCTATGCGCACCTGGACAGATCCTCCAGCTTTGATTTTGCAAATTCCAGACTCTTCCTCTCCACATGCTCATGGGGGGTATGAGCGAGCAGTTCATGAATTGTGATGATATACCTGGGGATCTAAATGCAAACAAAGGCCAGTGTGAGCATGAGGTGAGGATCAGTAACACCTTCATCACTTCCAAGAAGTTCGTCTCTACTCTTATGGTTGTAATTGTTCTATTGAATACAAACATTTTTTAAGAAATACATGCATGGGGGAGTGGGGGGCAATAAGGGGAATAAGGACACATATGTAATACCTTAATCAATAAAGAAGAAAAAAAGAAATATATTTTAAAACACTTAAAATGAACTACATTCAAACATCTCACATACACACACATATATATACACACACACACATGCAAATTCCCCAGGAACACATGAAAAGAGTAGATAAAGTATTGTTAGTTTCTTTAGAAATTTTAATATAATCATGCAGTTCTTAATCATAATTTTTGAAAATTGGTTCTTAGGGAAACAGATATAGTTATCATCAAGTCACTAGAGTCTGTATGTTATATATATTTGTCTGTTTATAATTTTTTTTAAAAAATTAACAATCCTACTGTAACGTTCTCTTTACCAGGTAAGAATTGAAACTTGGGCCTGAGCCAGTGTGGCTCAGTTGGTTGGCATTGTCCCATGCACCAAAAGGTTGCCGGTTTGATTCCTGGTCAGGGCACATGCCCGGGTTACAGGCTCTATCCCAGGTAGGGGGAGTGTAGGAGGCAGGCAATCAGTGTTCAGTTCTCACACATCAATGTCTCTATCTATCTATCTATCTCTCTACCTCCCTCCCCCCCTTCCTCTCTCTCTAAAAATCAATATTTATAAAAAAAATAATTAAAATTTGGGAGAAGGTATATTCACCCTTATTATATTCTGATCCTCCTTCTAGCAGAAAAAAGTATTGTTTAATTAGGTTACTTACTTGTACTTTTGTTTACAGACTACCCACATTCTGCCAAAGGCAGAAGAAACTCCACCAACTCTCTGAAGGTTTTAATAGACTATAGCAGAGACTTAACTCAAATTTCAGTGAGTCAACATATTTGAATTTTACTGGCTTAGAAACTGAAATTTGTTAGAAACCAGGGGCAGAGTTTAATTTTAATAACATACATGAACAATATCGATAGCTGCCATCACACTGCTCACTGCGGGTCAGATCAGGTGCTCATGGTTTACATATGCATATATCGTAATCCTCCAACAACCTAAGATTCCTTCCCATTTTACATATAAGGAAACTAAGTGTGGAAAGGTCAGTAATTTTCCCAATGTGTCCTCATAGTAAATGGCAGAGCCAGCCATGAGCCCAGCTCTGACCAATGCACTAGCCCAGTAAGCCTGCTCTAGGACTGGGTTCTCACTCAACACCTGAAAGCACCCCTGAGAATGAAGGAAGTAAAAGTTTCCAGGGCCCCGTGGGTAGCTCTTGCATTCTGACCTGACATGGGGTTGGTGCGTCTCTCCACAGATCTGCTTTTGCTCTCTTGGCAGTGGCAGCCTTCACTGGGTAATTTACTGATATTTACTGGATGCCCACATTTATGTGTGAAGCACAGAGGGCAGCGCCATCAACACAGGCATCAATCTGCAGCTCCTGCTCGGGATCACATCCTAGAGAATGCCGTCAAGGTTTCAGCAGTGCTCCAGGCTCCCTAGTCATGGGAGGTGGGGAAGAGCAGACCCTTCCCTCTGGAGTCCTGCTGCCTCCCACCCCATAGACTTCTCAGCGAGACAGCCTGTAGGGCTGTGCCACCTGGTGAAGCTCCTGGGACAAGTATGCTTTCAAATACCCCTTTTTCATAATCCCATGATTGATGAAAGTTTTCCTCTAAGTTAGCAGTCCACAAAAAAAAAATCAAGGCCATCACCAGCTAAGATACTCAGTTTTTCATAACAAAGAGGGCAGGAGTGGGAGAGCCTGACTATACTTATAGTACACCAAAACCCCACTAAACTGAGTTTAGTCAATACCTCCATGATCCTCCCCCATTTATTCAATCTATTTTAGAGAGCTCCCTGGCTGAGGTTCAAGAGAATAGATTTGAAATTTAGTAACTGGCCTTTTCCATGAGAAAGTGAAGGAACAAACATGCCTGAAACTGCCAAAAAGTGGGCAAAGAACATTCTGCAGAGAAGTGGACGGCTCTCCAAAGAGCTTATCTGTATATTCAAGTGCTGATTATAAATCTGCTCCCCCAAAACCCAAGAATTACAAAAAGTACTGTCCAGATCAGTGGTTTTCGACCTTTTTTTTTTTTTTATCTCATAACACACATAAACTAATTACTAAAATTCTGTGGCACACCAAAAAATTCATTATATTTTTTGCTGATCTGACAAAAAAAAAAATAGGTATAATTTTGATTCATTCACACCGGATGGCTATTGTTGTGTCAGCTGTTGTCATTTTTTAAATTTGACAATCTAAGGAAAAAGAGGTCAGTGCCCCTCACTAAATTAGCCAGGTATTGTGTCTTTTAAAAATTATTGCGGCACAACAGTTAAAATCACTGATCTAGGCGAACCATCATTCCGCTTTCAGTTATGGAACAATAATTGTCACTTTATAGACATTAATTAGTTTGTTCTCCAATAACCATAAACAGGCGGCTACTTTCTGGTGAACATCTAACGATGCTGGTCTCACCAGAAGCAGATTTCATGATCAGCTTACCTGTGGATTTATGAGCAGCTGAGGCCAATTTAAACAGTTCTAGACAAGCCACTGTCTTTGCAACATAAAAAAAATTGTTAATGACTACATTGTTTTCCATAACAAAGTTCTTGACAACACTTGGTTTTGCTTATCTGACAGTTCAATTGAGGATACTAGTATATTCACTGTATCATCCGAATTCTACAATTTCTCCATGTTTCCATAGCTCAACACAGTTCATTAAGAGCAGCAATTGACCTACCGGACAAGGGGCCCAGAAAGAGGTAAAATATAATACTTTTCTACACATCCACAGACTAAAAGTTGCCAATCACCTCTCCCCTTTCTCTGCTCCACACCAACCTCTATCCCCATATACAGGCTCAAAAAAGAAACCATCTGGTGGTATGAACTAGGCTCATCTCTTTCACTGTTGATATACAGCAAAAAACTGAAATGTGCCACCCTCATCCCAAGGTGTCCAGCCGACATCAGAGCAAGGCAGAAGTGCCACTGCCAATACAATGCACACAGAGGGACATAGATGTGCCTCAACCATCTGAGAGAGCAAGTGCCTCATGACTATTTCATCTCGTTAGTGAAAGGACCAAAGGATAACAAGAAGAGTAGAATGGACATGGGCCTAGCAATAAAAACCTTTCACCTTCTAGAAAGAGCAACCCCACCTCCAAGTGTTCCATGTGTCACGTGGAGAGACAGCAGGAGGGAGAGACACAAATGAACCAGACAGAGGAGAGACATCAATGAGGGTGAAGCCCTTGGGCAGCAAACTCTGATGATTTTCCCTCTTGGTCTATTCAAAATAGTTATAAGGAAGCAAAATTGTTACCAGGAAGCAAATAAATAAAGAGCACAATCCTGTGCTCTTTCAATTTGCCCATTTCTTGCAGTTGGACCAGTTCTGGCCAAATTCTTTAAATTTGAGGTTTCTCCCAGAGCAAGCAATGGTTCTCATAAGCTGAGGCTTTTGTTACCCTGATTTGGACGAAGCCAGAGAATCTCAACATCTGACCCTTCAGCTAAATTCTAGGGTTTGAGGCCACCACAGTCTTGGCAGAGGCGGAGAGGGCTAGGGCCTAGACTACCACCACCATGTAGTTACCTAACCAAACTTTCAGAACCAGTCTAATGCAGGTAGTATCACAGAGATAGTGCCTGGGAGATAATCACAGCTCAGCTGCCTCAATTTTGAGACCTGGAAATGGGGATTTAGATTGGTTCAATTATTTTCCCCAAAGCTATTACTACAGGGTGAGCAAGACATCCAGGTCTCCTGAAGATTCCCAGTCTAATAGTCCTTGTCTGTATTCTGGGAAGTCCTTGGGTCAGTCAAAATGCCCATTGTTATTGGGCTTAAACTCCATGGGCAGGGAGGGAGAGGTGGTGGAAGTGTATCACAGCATTTTTAAGAAATCCACAGACCTTTCCAAGGCCCTACATTCAACTTTTGGACAGGTCACCTAAAGTGCAAGTGCAGCCTGCCATTTTAAAACATTGAGAGAGCTTGACCAGGGGGAGTTACCGTATTTTTTGGATCATAAGACGCACTTTTTTCCCCCCAGAAGTGGGGGGAAAAGTCCCTGCGTCTTATGGTCCAAAGATAGCCTACACATATACTTTTTAAAAAAAGTTTTTTTACTTGCCCGGCTCTGTGTGGTCTCTGTGTGCTTGCCCGGCTCTAAAATGGTTCTAAATGCTGCTATTTACTTTACAGGGTTGACTACATGTGTTTATGACTGTGATGTTGGGTTTTAATGCACATAAAATATTTTAGGACACTATTTGTTTCAGAATCTTTTTTTCTTCATTTCCCTTCTCTAAAAACTGGTGCATCTTATGGTCCGGTGCGTCTTATGGTCCGAAAAATACGGTAAGTAGCAATCGGAAAGACATCGGTGGGGAAGGACCTGGGAATCTCTCTGAATGTTCCATGTGTCTTTCAAACTCTGCCTTTGTATATTCACCTGAGTTGGGTTTGCTGAACAGAATCAATTTAGAGTATTTTAATCATAACCTAGAGGCAATTGCCAAAAAATCAAATAAAATCCCAGGAGAACATTGCACTATCCAAAATTTGTTTCACCGTAAATAAATCTTAAATTACAATTTTGTATAAGGTTACCAAAAAAGAAAACTTTTTTTTTCTTTGAAGCTTTCCTTGTGAAATATTTCCTCAGAGAGGCAAAGAGTTCAAACAATTCAGTTCCATGAAAAAAAAAAAAAAACCACACACACAATAACATTACAAAGTTCTACTATACTTAAGTTATTTCAAATGCATCCTTTTGGTTTTTATAGAGATTTTACTAAACTTCTAGAGTAATTCCAGGATTTCAAACAGATTTGACAAACTTTAAGATAAACTATTGCAAACCAGGCCAACATTTCTTTCTGAGACTAGAAAATGATCCACCCGGGTCAGCATTGAGGGGGACAAAGCTCCCCACAGAAACCCTAACACACATGATTCGGGGATTCGGTTTACCAACATGACAATTTAAAGGGCTGGCCAGATGCCCCATAAATTCCACATTGGAACACTCCATGCCTTTCCAAAAAAAACAGCATCAACACTTTTCAAGAGAACAGGCAATTCAGTTCGCATTTTGGCCTCTGCAATTCTCACTCAAGGGCTCTTAATGGTAAAGCCCAAGATACAGGAAAGAACACAAGTGTACTTGACCCCTTGGGTTGCTCCCAGGGGTCCTCAAACTTTTTAAAGTGGGGGCCAGATCACGGTCCCTCAGAGAGCTGGAGGGCCGGACTATATGAACTACTAATTCCTACTGTAACACCTCGGCTGCGCTCACTGCCCAAAAAACATGGCAGGCTGGATCAGACTCCTCTGCGGGCCGCATGTGGCCCGCGGGCCGTAGTTTGAAGACGCCTGTTAGACTAATCCCACAAAGTGAATGTCACGACAAGCCCCAGCCTCCCTGCAGCAGCCCGAGAGAGGCCAAGAGTCCCCAACCCAGCTAATGCCTCTGGCTCCTAAGTCTCAACAGCCTCTGTCGCCTGGGAGGTCCTCCTTTGCTCTCCACAGCTCCAGCCAAGGGGGACTCAGCAGCAATCACAGCAGGGTGGGGAGGAGGGCCAGGAACATAAGACTTCCCACTGGTCCACTCAACTTCCCAGGAACCTTTTATGCAACCAGCATATCCTGGAACATTTGCACAGCATCCTATTTCTGTAACCCTAATAATATTTTTAAACATGCTGGAGGAGGAGACTTCATGGAAGAGGTCTGCGTGGAATCTTTCTATAAAGAGAACATTGTGCTGCTTTTCAAAAGAAAAAAAAAATCATTTTTTATGTAATTGTCTCAAAAATGCCTGGCTTTCTTACATATATTAGGCAGAGAGCGAGTTGTGGGGCATAAATGTGATTATCTCAAGGTCAAGATCAAGATGAGAGGTGATGCATGTGTGTGATAATTCTTCACAGGGATCCTTGCACATCTCCCTCTGGTCATCAGGAACACTGAGCTGGAACCAGTGACTTGTACAAGGCACCCCAGAGGACTCACCTGAAACATCGGGTAGGTCAGGAACGTTTCCAGCATCCTCCCTTCGCAGGCCGGGTTGGCTTCATACTGTTTTAAGAGTTTGTCAAAATCTCTGTTTTGCTTACAATTGGCAAGCACTTGGAGGCTGTACTGGTGGTTACGCACAAATTCTTGATATATGTTCAGCATGGGGAGCAAAATATCAAACAGATCAGCTGAAAGAAGAAGTAAAATGGAAGTTTCTCTCGGTGCTCAGTAAATTATCTAAGGTACTGGGGTGGCTCCTCCCAGTGCCAGGTGTCACACATGCTTGGAGACCAGACTAGATGCCTGAATGACCGATCGGGCAGAGTGTTCTTGGGGCAGAGCCTGACTCTAGCCCAGAATGACCATGACAGGCCAGGGGGAAGGCAAGTCGTAGGGCAGGGTCCAAAGGCCAAGGAGACAAATTCCCAGTGGCTAAAGCAGCTCAGATCAGTGGGAAAATTCAACAGCTTCAGCTGAATAATGTTGGAATTATTTTACTCTAATGGTAGCCAGAGTAAGAGGAACCAAAGCATGCACTTACCTAAAATTAAAGTAGGCCAGTTTGCTAACCTTGCCTTCAGTCCCTGATGAAATATTTCATGCAGAAACATGATTGTTTCACTATAAAAATGCAAAAAGAGTATAATTTAGTCTTGAGTAGAGCCATTGCCACCCAATGTGGGGAAATCTCCCTCCTTCCTCACAACAGCGAAGCCAGGCTTTCAATCACATGTTATCAGACTTCTCATTACACACACACACACACACACACACACACACACACTCTTTTATTTATCTCCAAGTACCACCCTGTTTCTCTGCTTTTCTTTCTTTTTTTTTTTTTTTTCATAATATCCCTCCTTTGAAAGAGTTTTCTATACATACTCTCCTCCAATTCCAATCCTTCCATTCTCTCCATTCTGGCTTTGGGCCCACCCTCTCATCAGTTACCAATGAGCTCCATGTTATTAAAGCCACAGTCAGTTCTAAGTTATGATTTTATTTGACCTTTTGATATAGTTATTCATTCCCTCTTGCCTTGTTTTCAGGACAACTCAACTCTTCTGTTTTTCACCTTGCATTTCTAACTGATTCTCTTTACTGTCACATTATAGCTCTTCATATTCTAACTTTAAATGTTGGAGTTGATCTTGTTCTTCTCTCATTCATCTGTACCCACTCCCTTGGCAATCTCATGAATACTAACAACTTACTAATCATATGCTATTGGACTTCCAAATTTATATCCCCATCCCAGACTCCCACCTTGAATGCCAGTCTAGTATCCAATCCCTGCTCATTTGATTTCTCCACTTGGATGGCAAATAGCATCTCACACTTGGCAGTTCCAAAATAAAAGCTCTTCATATTTTCCCTAGTCTTCTTCCATGTAGTAAATAGCAACTCCGTACTCTAGTTGTTCAGGTCAAAAACCTTGGGAATTTTACCTGCTTTTTGTTTTTCCCTCAAAATCCACATCAAACTCATCAACAAATCTTACTGGCTCTGTACTAAAAATATACGCAGAATCCAACCACTTACCACTTTCTCCATCACAATCATCTCTTAGTTGGTTTATCACAACAGGCGCCTGACAGGCCTCCCTGCTGTAACCATCCATCACCTAGCTTATTGATCTCCCTATAGTCTGCTCTCAACTGAGAGGCCAGAGTGAGCCTTTTAAAACATAAGTCATGTCATGCCACTTCTCTGCTCAAAACCCCACCAACGTTTCCCCATCTCACTTAAAGTAAAAGTAAACAATTTTATAATGTCTTACTGTTAACACTTTAGTTTCCCCCTGCATCCACACAGACCTTGGCAGTTTCTCAAACAAGCAAGTCAGGCCTACTCGGGTCCTTTGCACAGGCAGTCCTCTCTGTCTACATCACTTTCCCCCTAGGTAGTCATATGGCTTACTTCCTCACCAACTGAAGCCTTTTTTCAAATATTAACTTATTTTTTAGTGCTTTCTATACATACAAAACTGGCACATTTACACAATGTATTATAATACATTGTAGCAATTTAAAAAATATAGAATGTTCTTTAGATATCAATATGAAAAGATGTTTATGATATATTGATACATGAAAGAAAAATCTATATTAAAAATGCGTTGCCTTTTGTGTAATAAGGGGCAATGTAAGACTCAAAATCCATATTTTCTTTCATTTACACTAATAAACACTGGAAGGGTATATAAGAAATTAATTTAAATTATTACATACAGAAAGGGGGGGAATGGGGTGGGCGAAGGCAGAATAAGAATGAGATTTCTAACTGTTGTTTGATGTTTTTCTATTATTTTGACTTGTGATCCTGTATTATCTACTCAAATACAAATCACTAAAATTTTAAGTGAAATACCCAAGCACTTTCCTTCCCTCTTTATCTCTTTTGCTTCTTTTTAAAAAATATATTTCTTTATTGATTTCAGAGAGGAAGGAAGAGGGCGAGAGAGATAGAAACATCCATGATGAGAGAGAATCATTGGATTGGCTGCTTCCTACACTACCCCCACTGGGGATCAAGCCCAAAACCCAGGCATGAGCCCTTGACCGGAATCAAACCTGGGACCTTTCAGTTTGCAGGCCAAAACTCTATCCTCTGAGCCAAACCGGCTAGGTCTCTCCTTTGCTTCTTCATTTTTCTACAGAACTCAATACCACATGATATACTACACAGTTCACTTAATCACTATTCATTGTCTGTCTTCCTACATCAAAATTTAAGTTCCATGAAGGCAGGGATTTTTTTTTTCTTTGTTCACTGATGAATCCTCAGCAGTAAAGCAGTATATTCACATTGTTGTACTATAAATATTTATCGAGTGAATAGATTTACTAGAAAATCTCAGGCCCTCTGTTAGTTTTTGCTCTTCCTAGAGTACTTTTGTATAAATCATATGTAAAGACCCATTAATCACTCCATTTCCTTCGTTTTGTGAGGGAGATGATCTTCCCCAACATACACATACCCCCACACAATGATGAGAAAAAATATGTCAAACAGAAAACTACATGCCAAGATTCAAGATAAAGATATACAAATTGGACTAATATTGAAACACAAATAATAGCCTTCTTATTTTCAATATCTTAAACTCAGAAAAGTGAATTTATGAAACTCATTTTTTACGAGTAAACATTTTGAGAAATACAAATGGGTTTTCCACAGGACTGATTTGTGCCAAGACAAACCTGTTGAGGAAAATACTACTGACGTCGTCGTGGCTGATGGGGGGCTTCTTGGAGCTGGCGGCCATGCGTAGGGGCCGGAGGAAGCAGTTGACCAGGATGTAGAGCTGGTGAACGTATTCCGACTCGGCCTCTACCATGGTGAACACAATCTGGTTCCTCTTCCTCATACTTTCAGCATGAGGAGAGCAGATGTAATCCTGCACGATGGTCTTCCATTTCCTCCTACACAACCAACCTCGCATGAAGCTTTGAACCTAAAGAGCAAAAAAGATGGAAGAGAAGGGGAAGGGGAAGAAGAAAGAGAAGAAAAGAAAACCTCAGGGAGTTGCGAGACAGGCTTTTTACGTCTGTCAGAAGAGGTGTTCAAAGGCTCTGCAACTAACCTTCTGACTAACCGTGACTTTTGGTCCTCTTTTCTCATCTATAAAATAATTGACCAAATGTATCTGAGGTGCTTTCTAAATATAAAAAGCCTATATGATAATTCATTAGGATTTGTTATTTTAAAGTGGCAGATTCAGCAACAAAGCAGGTTGCAAATTTACACATAATTGAGAGCATTAAATCACTACCAACTCTGTTTTTAGTATCACTGTTATCTATTCAGTCTTACACTTTATTTTTTTCCATATTGTTTTACCCTTGTAGTCTAAATTATCATGTATTTAAACAACTACTCTTCTTTTGCAATGTCTAAATTCTCTCATTTACCTACTAGTGTTGTCAGCACACTATCAATTTTCTACAGACATTCATACAGTTGACTTACCCCAAACAATAAAAATTAACCATGTTTTAATAGAATTATATAAGCAGAAATTACATGTATATTATTGGGGAAAATCTAATGGCAAATTTCTATGAGTTATAATCAATTTCAATTTTTGGTCTCTTGAAGTTAACAAATTGTGTTGATCAGAATACAGAAAATAATTCATTTGTAAACAGCCCTTTTTCACATAGATATTAGTTTGATTTGGAACAGAAAAACAATATAGTTAATTTCAAAATCTATTTAATAAATTTAAAAATAGTTTTAATTTTTTTCAATTAAGAAATGGGAAGTTATTAAATGTAAAATCTATTTATTTTTTTTGTTATTCTTCCATTTAACAGAGTATATTTTTTAAATAAACTAAATTGAATTTTATATTAAATAAAACTTTTTATTTGGACAGTTATCTCTTGCTGAGCAAAAGCTGATTCATTCACTTCCTAACAGACCAGCTTCTACAACTGCACTGAAAATTGTATTTTACTGATATTGTTGCTTACATGAACTGCATACTATCAAAAGAAAGGCAATAATATGAATCTTATAACATAATAACATAAAACAAATTCAACTTATAAAGTTATAAATTCTAAGAAAGACTTTATTTTATTTTACTTTTTTATTTCTTAAAAACTAAAAGAATTATAACTTAGTCCTAAGAAGCTTTTCTATTTCAAATTCTAAGCAATATTTAGCTAAAATTTTGCTACAACTGAAAGGGAATAATTATTCAGCATAGGAAAACAGGATTAAGAAATAAAGAACATATAAACAGTTTAATGGTGAGGCTTTCCACATAATGTTAACAAAACCAAGTAAGTGCTTCACACAGAACTATTAAGATTACTGAACTCAAAATCCAGATGACCTAAAGCAAACATAGCAAGCTAGACTGAGCACCAGTGTCTGGCTAATTGCAAAAGTTGTATGGTTATACATAACAGTAAGATGGCAAAGGATCTGCTGATTTTGTGGACGTTGAACAAGAAACAAACAATAATAAACCAGACATCTGAGCAGATGTAGCGATTTACACTAATCTTCTCACATGTTCAAAAAAAATAAGTGCTAAAGATTATGCTAAAAGAAATAGGTTTGAATGTAATTTAAAAAACACTCCCCCAAAATAAGAAGCGGTATAAAATTAAGTTACACAGCACCTAATTAACCCAACTGGGGAACACCATTATTTTTTTTAAATATGTTTTTTATTGATTTTACACAGAGAGGAACTGAGAGGGATAGAGAGTTAGAAACCTCAATGAGAGAGAAACATCAATCAGCTGCCTCTTGCACACCCCCAACTGGGGATGTGCCCGCAACCAAGGCACGTGCCCTTGACCGGAATTGAACCCGGGACCTTTCAGTCCGCAGGCCGAAGTTCTATCCACTGAGCCAAACCTGTTTCGGCACACCATTATCTTAATGTCTGGTTATAGCATCCTTCCCACAGAATCCAAAAGGGGATTCTCAGGACTGGAAAGAAATCTCAAGCTGAAACTTTTCTGAAAAAGTAGTCATGTCTGGATCACTTTGAAGGGCCATTAGAATGGAAACACCAATGTTCTCAGCGCAGGGATAGGGTGGCAAAGACATTATTACAAGACAACTGGTCGCTGTGCTGCTCTGCAGCCAGAAACCAGTAGCATCCTACCTTTTTAATCTTTTTGATGTCTGGATCATCCTCTTCTTGATTGCTTTGGTAAGGCCGCATTCGTTCCTTGGTTTTATTAAGAGCGATAATCTAGAACACAAAATAGGTCCATTCCATGATCTGGAAAACACTGGATTATTGCCATAACTCATAAGAAGTCAAGCCTACAAGGTAGCATATGAGGTTCTCAGGAAACATTCAGTTTTTATTCACTCTCTCTGGCTTTGGTGCTGTGGCAGGGGAAGCATGAACTTCGCCCCAAGCCTGCATCGGTTTGTTATTAACGAGTTATTATAAGAAGTCCCTGTGGAAGTGTGAACTGGGATCTGGGTTAGGAAATGTTGGGCCAAACTCCACCCTAACTGCCAGTGATGACCAAGCCAGTGATGACCAAGCCAGGCCTTCTCAGGAGCTGAGTGACATGTCAACCACCTCGCTAAAGGGAGCTGCCTGAAATATCCTGTGGTCTCCAAATGCAATGGCAGTCAGCTCCATGCTCATGCTTTCCTGTGGGAATAATTAGCCTGTAGCCATCCATCTACACACAGTACAGAGACTCACAGATCTCCTTGGGGAAACGGTAACTGCATAGGGAGCTTCAGACCCGTAGGATTGGTCCCAGCTAGCCAAGAAAAGGTTAAAACATAAAAAAATATGGAAACAACCTGAGACCTTTTTCTGTTTCCAGCTCAGTTCTGTGACTGCGAGGGGCAAGTCAAGACCAGATGGCCTCTCAACTGCATTGAGTAATAACATTTACTGACTGCCACTCTATTGAAGGCTCTTACATTTGTAAGAGCCTTTATAGATTTACTAACCAGCAAATTCAGAGCTCCCTCTGGCCTGTCTACATTTTATCCTCAAGGCCAAATACACATCTCCACCATGTTCTGGCAGGGAAGGGGGAAATAAAAGGAGGAAATAAATTATGGCTCTTGTCAAGCAAACACACAAGACATACCTGCTACTGACAGTTTTTAGCTGCAGTCTGTGTTCAGACTAAAATAGAATGTATTGAATACAGAGAAGCACACACAGATAAATGTTGGGGAACATTGCTCAGTGCTGAGTTTCTCTTATAGAGGAAATGCCAACCTCTTTCACTTAGCAGACAAGAATCTGCTCTAGCTGACTGTGGCAAAGAAAGAACACAATAATTTTGTTTTAAATTACAGTGCCTGATATAGTTTTTTAAAGGCAGGTTTGTTACGTTTTCTGTTTGTTTGTTTTTTTTCACTATATCAGATTTCAGGGTTGAATCAGGAAGTGAACAACACTAATGATATGGTGAGCATGATCTGCAACTTATCATCACCGGAGAAGCAAGCAGATCCCAGATGGAACCAGCTTATGCCCATGCTCTGTACATGGAGGTGATGTACACAGGCACCAGAGGGTGAAACCCCTCACAGGATTCACAGAGTATGTCTAAGAGGAAGATGTGAGGAAACGAAGAAGACAATGTTGTCCAAAGCCAGAAAAGTGATAAAGTTACCAAGGCTGAAGAACTTTTTATTTCTGTCATCAAGGATATAATTAGTAGTAGGTTTCATTCTATCTTATTCTTGTCTTCCAAGCTAAGAAATACTAATGCACTGCTGGTCAGAAAGGGGAAAAAAACTCATTTTCTACATTCCTCTTCAAATCTTTAACTATTGAACACTTCCCACAAGGAATGACAAGATAGCAAGAAAAGGTATGTGTATATATATATATATATATATATATATATATATATATATATATAGTACACACACACACACACAAACACACACACACACACACACACACACACGGGCTTCTTGGAGAGAGGGAGGACCAGGCACACTACCACTGTTGCAGACACTAGACCACCTTCAACTCTAACCTGGTATCGGTCTCACTACCTAGGAGTATAGGGCTTGAAGTTCATGCTAAGGTGATGGGAGAAGAAGAGGGATATTGGAATTACAACTTCAGGAAAAAATGCACCCTAATACGTGGCTTATATTTTACTTTAAATACGTTTTTCAAAATTCTAGAGAGGAGACATTGGAGTCTTATATCTTAAAAAAAAAAAAGAAGAAAAAAAAAAGGAAAGTCATTGTTAATTCATTTTTTGTCCTTCCTTAGTTATCGTTTAGATTTAATTGAATCTATTGACAGACTCACAATTACCATTACCCTAGAAGTCTATCTGGAAACAGTTAAATATTGAGGTCAACTCTGCATATCTGATCAAATGAAGGACATCAGGAGCACAAATAATTTTAAAAAGTCTATAATCCTGATATTTTATTGAAGCATATTTGCCTAATTTTAACATAGACACATTAGAGTCATTCCTAATGGAGATCAGTAGCCTGGCCATGTATGTGTTGAAAGCATAGAAACTAAGTTGGGGATTAAAATTTACCCTGATAGGCCATACGATAGTCAACATGAAACAATGAGAAAGAATCCATCTACTGGGAAATACCTCTGATTTAAGCCTTTCGATTTCGGTATCTTGATCTTCGAGTTGATGCCGTAGTTGGTTAGCTGCAATTTTTTCTGTCTCTACGATCTGAACTAGATGAATGTACTTCTGCATTAACACTTCCCTCTCAATCAAAATGTCTGCATAACTTGGGAGAAAAATAGTTAGTCATTGAGGTATTGTTCTACTATAGTTCCATTTAGAAAAGCATGCACTACATTTTAAAAAGAAGCCATAAGCATAGCTTGTTTGGCTAACTCTATGTAAACATTAACTTTGGTTTACATTTGGTATCCTCCATCTGTAAAGAATTTGAATCATTATCATTTTACATATATTGTTTTCACAGAGTTCATTTAAGTTTTGGCTTACGTTTGGCATCCTTTAACTATACAGAATTTGAACCACTATCTTTTTACATATTTTTTATTAGAATTCATTTAATGACATCTGCCATCCACAATTTTAGCTCATCAGTGAGAAAAGTGCAAAGGAAATCTATTGTTTTATAAAGAAAATAGTACATCTCTTTAAACAAAGAAACTGAAGTCCTTTGAATTGATGGCACATACTTGATTTCCTGGGATGATATTCAAAATATTTCACTGGGTAAGGCACTAGCCAATCAGAACAGACTTGCCACCAAGCAGAATCAATGAAACAATCAATGGAATTGGCACTGGCTGAAAAGAACTATGATGACTGTACCAACAACCACCAGTCTTGCTTAGCTCTCTTTAATATTTTGAGACCACTGACTGCTCTTGCACTTTCCAGAAATAACAGAAGTAAAAAATTTTATTCTGGAAATAAGTGTAGATTCTTTGAGCCCTAACTCCAACAATCTGACCTATGTCCATTTCTTTGACCAAATGTGATAAAGGCAAACTGACTGTGAGATTTTTACTGGTTATGCCTGTCTATAGCAACTAAATTTTGTCTCCAGATCTTCTTGCACTATTCAAGGTGGTAAAATGGATGTTCTTCCATTCACATAATCTTTCCCAAATGGTATAATGATAGCAATAATTAACAATGGTTTCTATTTATTGCATGTGTAGGGAATACCATACATATTCTCATCTCATCCTCCCAGTAACCTGAGAAGATAGGTTTTATCATCCCAGTTGTACAGAGAAAGAATCTGATCCTCAGAGGTCAGACAACTAGTAGGTAGCAGAGCTGAGTGGGATTCCAATCAAGGTATGTCTGACACTAAGCCCATGTTCTTCACAACAAGCTAAACTTTCTCTAGTGAGAAATGGTGCACCGGGTATAAACAATAATATTGCAGCAGATACATTTTGAGATATAAGCACAATCTTCTACCCACTTACATCTTTGGGAATGTGGGCCCTAGCAGCTATATTTGTACCACAATATAAAAGGGCATAACTGGCCCAAGCTAAACCAATTAGATTCTTTCTCCCTAGAATCTGAGATTGTGCCTCTGACCTATTTGCTTGAACTGAGAAGATCTGAACTTGGAAACTCAGGTTGACATTGTTGGGCAGCAGTATTTGGCCACATCGATGCCCAGAAAAGTTGAGTCTTCTGAGAGAGAAAAGAATAACAGATGTTCAGAAGAGCAGAGACAGGAGACACAGAAAGTCTGAGTCAGAAAAGTAATGACTACCTGGTTCCTGTCAGCTTTCTAGTTTACAGGTCGATGAATGTGCTAAGCACTACACCAGACATGGCTGAAAACTAAGCTGGGTAGTTGGCGAGATAAAGAACATTGAACAAAAATACTAGGAGACTGGAAATAAAAGAAAAATGGAACAATATGGAGTATAGATCCAAGAAGTCTACTCGCTATTATATGAAAGTTCCAGAAGGAAAACAACATAAACTGTGATGGGGGGGGGAAGCATCAAAAAAAGAAATCTTCCCTGAACTGAACATGGCACAGTTCAAATATAAAAGGTAATCTAGACAGGATAAATGAAAACAATTCATACCCGAACACGTCTTGGTAAAATATCTGAGCTCTAAGAGTAGACAAAAAAATTACAAAAGCTCCCAAAGAGAAACCACAGATAATCTAAAGAAAGTGAGAATCAAGATGATATACTTCTCAATCTGTAGCTTGACATGCTAGATCCCAATAGAGAATTTAAGGGAAATTATTTTTAACTTAGATTCCTACCCATGGCAACCAATCAATAGACTAAGTGCCAGTTCCAAACAAACAAACAAGTAAAAAAAGGAAAACAGTTTGGTAACCTCCACACTTACAACAGGAGAAAAATTATGAGGAGTTTTCCCAACCGAATAGAACAGAAAACAAAGACATAAGATAACATGGCATGCAAGAATACAAGCAGAGGAAGTAAAGAAAGCTACAAAGACATGAGAAATTAACACATGCAAGTTTCTCCTTCAAGGAGAAAATATTCAATTACATGTGATTACCTTTCATTCTCCATGGAACCAAACATTAACCTTAATAGTTTGGTACACAATATTTGTATAATAAGGGTGTGAATGCCCCTTATTGCTTTTTAATTTTCAGAATCAGCAAAGGCTTATATTTAGAGCAAAGGAGCTAAATGTTTAAAAGTTTACAGATAGAGAATAAATAATAAAAGTAAACAAGGGAATAGGATTCTAAAGAATGAAGGATTCTGTAGAATAATATAAAATCTCAGGTTTTCACCCTGCATAAGATGCCAGAGCTTTGATAGAAGGAATGGCAAGATCTGATTTTTTAGCAGGATCATGATGGCTGCTGAGACAGGAAAGGGGTTGGAGTGAGGGAAACCAGTTGGAGGTTCCACAATAATTGAGGCAAACATGTTAAAGATTGGCCCAGCACCTGACATGGTGTCTAGAACCTGGCGTGGGATTGGCACAAAATATGCATTCAAATGAAAAGTAATTGTCAAATGGGAAAAAAAATTCATCTGATTTTTTTTTATTTCCATGGCTTGTTTTTCACACAATAATTTTCATTTTTTGTAATTTTAAAGTTATTTCATTGGTCTCCTTAGATGTCTAACTATTCTTACTGAGATATCCTCTCAACATTAAATCACAAAGCTCTCCTTGAATTTCCCGCTAGTAAATGAATGTCTACCTCAGAATTTCATCAAATCAACTGAACATGCATGTATGGCTTCCTTTCAGTGTAAGACACTTCAGAGGTTTAGTACTTCTCTTTTATACTTCCGATATAGGTTTCATCTGATTACTTTTTCTAGTTGCTAGAAAATGCTCAAGCTTAAGAATTTTTTTCCTAACCTATTCATTATTTCTGTGCTTTTTTTGTTTGTTTGTTTGTTTGTTTAATGTCCACCAGGGGGGAAATGGTTTCTCACTGCCAAAGGAAATAATAAAATTAAGCCATTAAATCAACATGGTGAAAGCCAACTCATGTGTCAAATACCAGCAGATGGCAAGTTTGAGGTATATGTACAAATATGTAAAACATTCATGTGTAATATTTATAATCAAATCCAAACCATCTCTAATCCATATAGGATCAATGGAAACATTCCAATAAAATCCTGAAGAGTCCTGTCAAAGGCACAGTATAAAATCATAAGCCTTAATTATTTTTAAAGAAGAATAAAAATTATATTTGCTGAACAAAGAATTATTAGATGGGCCAGAACCTCATTCTAGTTACTTTGATTAAGGACATACTTACAAATGAGAGAGTAATATTATAGCTAATATGCTAAAGAGATATAAAGAATAAGAACTAGAGTAAAACTCAAACTGAAAAGTCATATAACAAGCAACTAAAGAAAACTGCTCCTAGCGTGAGGATCATGCTCAATTTCATTGAGAAAACTCTTATGAACAACATTCCTCCTCCCATTACATCGCATCGTACGACAGTGTCTCTGGGAATTGGGAAAATCCAGTCCTGGGTGACAGTAGTGCAGCGCCCCACTGAGCAGTGATTGGCCTGGCAGCCGCCACCCAATACAGCTTCACAAGGTCTTCAGAGATTCATTACTCACGGCTGCTTCAGCATTACTACCTTCCACCTTTTTTCTGGCTTTCAAATTCTCTTATATCAATAGTTCCACCCCACTGACTAATCGGTATTTTTTATGTGTCACATTAGCATGAGGTTCTAACACTACATCACCCTCCCTAATCTCCTCTCTCTCCACAGCCAGCTCTCCTCCCTAAGCTGTCGCCTTTACAATGAATGTGCATTGTCTTTGCAGCCCATGAGCCCTAAGGATCCACAATCAACTGAGTCAGTGGTTTTGATTGTCTTAATGTCTATAACTAAATCAACCATGGGTGGACAGATTTGACCAAGAGAACAAAGATGAAATATCAGGTTATTGGAAATATTGAAAATTTCATATCCAATTAGCATGGAACTTATGAAACAAGCATAGTCTTCGTTGCTATTAAAATGCTTTGGCTGCACATCATTCAGATGAAAATAAGACTGAGTCTTGCTAGCAGTTTCTCATGAACTGGGACCAGAATTATGTGATTAAATTACCTTTAAATGTGTCAGTGTTCTCAAAATACAATAATGGCTAACTACAAGCAAAAGTATAAAACAAGTTTCCTGGACCAGATCAAACTTACAAAAGAGAATTTAATTTTCAAAACAATTTTTCCCTGAGCCAGCCCTAAGGGATAATCCAACTCTACATCTCAGAATATGGCCCAAAAGGCTTCTAAAAGCCAACTGTGGCAAGTAGATTCAGCTCTGTGTACAAAAGCCAGCAGCAAGAATGTGCTGTTCATGGCACAAAAAGACAGCACACCCAGGCTGATCCTGAGAAGCCATCCCAGGAAAACAGCAGTGACCAAGAGAGCGGTTCTGATTAGTCCCTGTTTCTATGTAGTTTCTGATCAGACCTTGTGACTGTGTAGTATCAGCAGGAGGATTATTGCTCAGAAAAAGAACTCAGCTCAGGTTAAAGTACGTAGTTATTAGTTAATCAAAAGCTCTAATTCATAATGAAGAGAGGTGCAAAAAGAAGGATCAATGAAATCATACATATTGAGCATTTTCTATTAATAAGGCAGCAGTACTTAATTAATGACATCAAACTGTCCTCTAAAGGTGAAATATTCAGCCAACCAACCAATTGCTTTAATTAGCACAATGCCAAGCAAAAGTGGCTGACAAGTTCTTTCTCTGAATCAGTTTCATTAACTTTCTGGCTCTACTTATGTATTAACAAAGTCAGGATGAATTTCACAGATCCAAGATTACAGCAAGAACTCACCTTAATGAAAAAGTTTTTATCTTCCCTGGTTTAAAAAAGAAAAGTTAAAGAAGCATCACAATGCAAAAATGTCAAATAGAAGAACTCAGGTATAAAACCATGAGATGAAAAGGAAGCCATCAAATAACTGAATCCTGGGCTTCAAGTCAAAGGAAATGTAAATATAATGGACCAAAAAGTTAGAACATCGGGACAAAAGATCAATTATTAACCAAATCTTAAATCAAAAGAGAAGAGAATTTTTACCATTTGGTTACCTAAACCACTGAAGTGTTTCTAAAGTCTGTTTCCTAACAAGATCACACATGACCTGGTTCTGATCTTATGACAATCAATATTACATAGCCACCGACTCAGTTCCACTTATATGACAGTTCTTATGATATTTTAAAAAATCTATTACTTGAAATCTCACCATTTTAAAAGTAATTTATACTCTGTATTTGGTTACTAGTAGTACCTGGATTTTCTGGAATGTAAAAAATAGGCAAATACACATTTTAAATTATTTACTTCACTTTAATTCCCAGGTAAAGGGAACACAAGTGGTGACAAAGATTGTGTCTGGAAATGACCCAAGGTCTCCACCTTGACAACTTGATACTTCTTTCACCTTTAAAGGCCTGATGTTTTTCTACAGCAAGTCACTCTACATTAGTTCTAACTCTGGAGCAAAACCCTCAGTCAGAGCCACTGAGAACAAAGACAGCTGAACAGTTTGCCTAGATCATGATGCCAGCAAGCTGCCCCCAAGGCCCACCTGGAGAACAGCATTTAGTTGCCACCCCTGCACATCTCTGAGAAATATTTTGAAGAAAAGGAACTGAAATATTTGGAACTAGCACCTTATACTCTCAACCCTGACCTCACATAAATCCATTTTCATCTCTGAATCAAGGAAAAGAAAACGAAATGGAAAAGGGAAGAACTGAAGACAAAGAGACAATAACTTAGAGAGGTACAATTCTGCACATTGATTAAACGTTCTTGAGTCTGATTGACCTGGGTTTAAATCCCAGCTCTGCAGCCCAACAACTTTGTGTTAGATCTTGGACAATCTGCTTAATCGTCATGAAACTCTGTTTTCTCATCTGTAAAATGGAATGAATAATACTCCCCTGGTTAACTGTGAGGAATAAAGACTGGTAAGTAAGTGAAGTACTTAGCGTACTGCGTGTCACAGAGGAGGTGGTCAATAAAAAGAAGTTGAAGGAAGAAGAGGGGATGGGAGGTGACTTTCAGAAAAAAGTTTCAAGGGTTAAAAGATCAGTCTAAACTCACTCAGAACATTCTCATTGTCTTTATAATCCATCCATCTGAAAATATTTCCTGATCATCTACTGTACAATTAGCCTGTGCTTCATTCAGAAATGAATGTGCCCTCATCCTCTTCCTCACTCTCCAGACACAGCTCAGGAAACAGAAACCTCACACATGAAATATGTAAAAAATAAAATAAAATAAAATAAAATAAAATAATAATAATAACTTAAATTGTAGTAATTGTTAAATATTCCACATGTAATAATGCAAGTGATTCAGCAATCTGGACAAGGGGGCCAGTGTGGACTGACCTGTAAGGGGAGGTTCCATGAAGGGGTGAAAGCAACATGTATGGGCATTTAGAAGGAGGGCATATCAGGTGCAGAAAAAGGACGTGTGTCCTAGCTCAAGTTTTGCCACTGAAATACTGGGGATATGAGCAGGGAGTGGTGGAGTGAGGAGAGCCTAGATTAGGGAGGGGACACTCAAAAAGCTGTGAGCATAGGAGCCATTTGAAGCAAAGAAATGGGTGGGACTTTGGAATTGAATATGAAAATAAAGAGAGAGGTCTGCCTGTGTTTTTTATTTTCCATTCCACCTTCCTGGTACTTCTAAGGAGGAAGCAAAATCAGACTCTTCTGTTGCCCTAGACAGAGACTGGTATCACATTTCCTGATAAACAGGGCTGGGTCCAGATTCTAGCTCTGCTCTTCCCTAGCTGTGTGACCTCAGGCAAGCAAACTATCTTTCCAGAGCTCAGTTTCCTAGAGGGAGTAAAAGAGGTACCTTTCTCATAGACTGTTGAAAAGATAAGTCAATCAACACATTTAACATAGAACAGTGCCTGGTACATAGGAACAAACCCACAAAAGCGATCTGCTATCATTGCTATTGTTATATCTATTGCCTTTCTTTAGCTAGAAAAAAAAATAACCCTAGAAAACTCAAAGAATCATCTCACACATGACTACGGGGGAAGTATCGAGGGGTAACTCATCTTGGAACTGCAAGTTCTTCCAAAGCTACCACCGACAGTGACATAGCAATGAAAGACCCAGACAACCCCGTGTCACACAGAGGATTTGAGTCCATACCTGGCTTGGTGAATGGCCTCCATCCACTCTTTACCATCCTGCTGCTCCTCACAGCGCAGCTCCAGTGGTTTCTGACCTTCGTGGCCAAAAAGGACAGTAAAGTAATACTGAAGAGAAAAACATACAAACAACATTTAGTTTTATATTTCAAGCATGACAGCATAGCAACCTGGTATTTCCCCGAAAAGGGTGTATGTTTACAAAATGTATTTGCATTATGTAAATCATACTTCAAAATGTAAAATCTTTCCCAGCCCCAGTTGGCAATGATTTTGTACCTTGAAGATACCATAGGCTGCATCTTAACACCCCTTCAGCAAGAGTCAACCCACACCATCTCATTAGAAGCAGAAAAGGTATTTGATAAAATTCTGCACAAACACATGAATAAAATTCCTTGCAAACTAGAAAGTGAAATTCCTGAAGCTGACAAAAGATATCTGCCAGAAATTTACTACAAACATTTTACCTAATGGTGAGTTATTATAAGCAATGGCTCTAAAATCAAAAGGAAGGAAAGGATGACAATTATCACCACTTCTATTTACCAATTCTGTCTGGAGGTCAACATCCTATCTAATAAAGAGGGAATATGCTAATTGAGCCTCACTGTCACAATGATGGCAGCACCCACAGCCAATAAGAAGGAAATATGCTAATTGACTGCCCCACTCTCAAAGATGGCAGTGCCCACAGCCACAAATGGTGGCACCCAGTCTCCTCAGCCCCACCAGGTGGTGCACCTGCCTCTGGAGTCCCCCAGACTCCTCAATCCCCCAACTGCCCCCAGGCTGACCCAAGGTGCAGGCAAGCCTCGGATGGTGGCTTCCCAGCTGTTCGGGCTGCCCGAGGCTCAGGTAACCAGGGCGGGCCAAGGATCGTGCTGCTGGCAGTGGCAGCAGGAGAAGTGTGATGAGGCACCGCCTTTCCCTGATCGCAGGATCACCTCCCACTCCTGAGGGCTCCCAGACTGTGAGAGGGAACAGGTCGAGCTGAGGGACATCCCCCCCTCCAGTGCATGAATTTTTATGCTTAGGGCCTCTAGTAGAAATATAAAAGAAATATAGAAGAACAAAAAATGAGAGCAAAGAAAAAATCATATTCACAGACGATATAATTATTTATATTAAAAATCCATTGAAAATTATTAGGATAAGAACATCCAGCAAAATTGTTAAATATAAAATCAGTATATAAAAATGTATTACACTTTAGATAGAACCAAGATGGTGGCTTAGGTAAGTGCCCAAACTGCCACCTCACACAACAATTTCAAAATAACAACTAAAAGACAGAACAGACATCATCCAAAACCACAGGAAAGCTGGCTGAGCAGGAAATCTACAACTAGAAAGAGGGGGAGAGTCTCACAGATCGGATCGGGAGCTGCAAAGCACTGAGGTAGGGAGATGCTAGCGCAGAGAGGAAGGGCAGCTGAGTGCTGGGCTGGCGGGAGGGGAAAGGAAGCCCCTGAGTGCATTGAACCCCAGATCCAACTGCACCGAACCCCAGTTCCAACTGCACTGAGCCCCAGCCCCAGCCGAAACCCCGTGGACCCAGGCTCATACGAGTGGAGTCTGGACTGTAGAGGAAGGCACCTGGTGACTCAGAGACTGGGAGACTCAGGGGAGCTGGAAGCCACAGCAGGCAGGGTCTCTAGAGTCAAGCGCGAGTGAGAGTACACAGAGGGGTCTGACCACAGAGGTTGCTCCGCCTCTCCGTAGCGAAAGAAGTCCGATGCTCCTAACTGCACTGAATCCCCAGTCCCAACTGCACTGAGCACTGAAACCCAGTTCAGGGCGAGTCCCTGGGGCACTCACGCTCTTACAAGGGGAATCTGATCTGTCAAGCAGAAACTCAGGGGATCCGTGGAAGGCAGAGAGGTCTGAGGCATGCACACAAGGGCAGGACTGACGGGAAGCCAAGATGGGTGGCTCAGCCCTGAGACTCCGCCCCATCCAAGCTGAGCTCAGAGGCTATTGCAATTTTGCAAGTCTGATTCTATAAGACTGTCTCCAATACAGAAGGTATCCTGGTGTAAACACAGCTGATACTCACATCCAATAGGCCTGGAGGTCAATTCCTCCCAGTGATACTAACAACAATCAAGACTTAATTACAACAAGGCTGTACACACAGTACACAAAGGGGAGCACCAAGAGTGTCTACCTCAGGTAACTGGGGAGGCTGACCCACCGGACCATATAAGACACCAAGCACACAAAGCCACCCTATCAACTCACCAACAAAGAACAATAAATGGCTAAGAGACTTTGCAGGTTACCTGGGCGTAAATCAGCAGCCAGTGGAGGACTGGGCCATGCCTGTGATAAACCATGGCACTGCCCTATGGCAGGCCCGAGCCCCATGAATGACAAGCTGTCTTTGGTTCTTAAACCTCTTGTGCAGCCAGAGGACCAAATGCTATGAATTAAGGGGGGGATAACCTAATGATAGGGTCACTGAGAATGGGAAGAATTGAGTTTAATGCTATATTAATAAAGGTTCATTTAAATTTGGGAGAAAAAGAGTGGAAATGCAATACAATAACCAATCAGGGGCATAAAGGGCAATCCTATCAGTGATGGCATTTCAGTAGCTGCTGGCTACTATCCAAGCCCAGATGCCCAGTCCAAGGAGAGGAAACAATTAATGAACCAGCCCAATCTATGGAAAGACTGCAACCAGCAACTCAACAGCAGCTGCTGCTCGGGAGCACGATTAAAAGCCACCTTTATAAGACAGCAAGGCAATTATGTTAGCAGAGTACATGAAAGGTTAAGCCATGTCTCAGGCATAACAATGAGGGGGATTTTTTGAGAAATACAAGTTATGTTTCCAGGATTTTAATTTGAAAAATTCAGCTCAATCACAAAAACTAACACTGCCCCTGCATGTATCTGAAAATTATTTATTTTTAGCACTCATCAACGTCTTCTCTATATCTTCTGGCCACACTCTGACATGAACTCTGTACACCAAGGATTTACATGTCCTGGGTTTTTAGAGGTCCACTCTGTGTCCTCTGACCTTGCCACTGCAGGAGCTAGAAGTTCCAAAGCCCTGAGTCATCATGAAGTGCAAGAAAGAATTAAAAGAGAGTGATGACCTTGATTATATCTATAAATTCAGCATCTAAAATGACAGTGATGTCTCTGTCAAGAACACCTTTATCTAACAGCTGTCCTATCTAAGAACATGAATGTCACCCTCAACTTCTCCCTCTCGTCAGCCCCACATTCGGTTTCACCAAAGCTCCTTCCTCAGAACCCGTTCTGTCGGCTTTATTGTCCCTCTCCTAGACTACCACAACAGTTGTATCCCAGATGACAGATATGACAGTTTTGAAATATGATATCTTATAGCTGGTGTCTCACCCTCCTTGTATCCTGGCTGCCATTACAGCCCAAAGTGGAAGGTCAATGGTCTCTCCAGAAGAGGGACGGGATGACCAGAGAAGTCCAGGTGAGTCGGGAATATAGGAGAAGCATGCAGAGAAGTGGCCAGGTAAAAACAGAAAGCAAAAGGTGGCAGAGACCATATGATGTACCCAATGGGGGCTGAAATCCCATAAAAGGGTGAGGAGATTAAAGGGTTGATGACAAAGCCCAAAGCTAAGGAGTTTCCTATCACTTGCCCTTGGGGATCTACAGGATGTCATCTCACAGACTGTCCTCTTTCCCCACCCCCTCCTCATAACAACATGGGGTGGTGGCCATGTCATGTAAGTCAGTAAAACTGGTGTCACAGCAGGTTGCAAAAGACAGGGCCTAAGTTTTGAGTTTAGCTATCCAGAGCAGCGGTCGCCAACTGGTAATCCACGAGGTCTGAAAGGTTGGTGACCGCTGATCCAGAGCCTCCCTAGGTTCTAGTGTGGATATTCCAAGTGTACTATTGAGGACTGTGGGAGAAGGGCACCATCAGACCTCGTGGGGATGCTATGCAGCCCCAGCAAGAGCCACAGTGGGACCATGTAAGCAAAATGGACAGCCAGGCCCTGAGTGGCCTACCAGACTATGGACCAGATGTTACAGGTGACCTACACTTTAGCAATAGATGCCAGCTACACTTTAGAAAAATGCCAGACCCCAGTGGGCACCAGTGGGGAATCCCCAAACTCTGATACACACACACACACACACACACACTCAAGGACATGTGTGTCCTGCTTACTGAGGCACCATCTTAGTGAGGTGCAGAGGAAAAAATGAATTACCAAAAGAGACCTTTTACATTATGGAAGCAGACTGAGTTTACTACTCTCAGCTAAATGCAGGTTTTGTTTTTTTTGTTTGTTTGTTTTTGTTTTTTCTCCACTTAGAAATTAGGGAGGGGGGGTCTTAAGGAAAGAGTCAGGTAAAATTTAGAAAAATACTTTCTTTGCATATCTAGGTGTAGTGAGGATAAATCTGCGACCCTACCTCTATTCTTACACAAGTCCTTCAAACCCAACCTAGGTGACCAGAGTTCTCTTTCTTTTTTCTTTTTCTTTTTATATTTTTTATTGATTTTTTACAGAGATGAAGGGAAAGGGATAGAGAGTTAGAAACATTGATGAGAGAGAATCATCGATCAGCTGCCTCTTGCACATCCCCAACTGGTACATGCCATTGACCAGAACCTGGGACCTTTCAGTCCATAGGCCGATGCTCTATCCACTGAGCCAAACCGGTTTCAGCACAGTGTTCTTTCTAAAAGATAAATCTGAGCTCTTGTGTCCGCTTACAAACCCTTGCTGGCATTTCCATACTCTAAGAACAAACTTTATGCAGGCTGCAGATTCCCTTCATAAACTGGCCCCATTCTCCATTTTTAACCTTGTTTCTGCCAGTGCACACTGCACTCCAGCCATACCGACCTGTCACTCCCCCCGAGAAGACAAGCTCTTTCCTGGACCTCATGCTACTGACAAGACCGTCTGAAGTCATCAGGATCAGGTGTGAGTCCTGGTTCCCCCAAGCGCTAACTCAACTTACCAGACCTTGGGCAAGTCATGTAGTCTTTCTGAGAATGAGGTTCCTCATGAACAAAATGGAGACAATAATATAGACCTTTCGAACCTCACAGACCACTAAATTCATAATTTTAAAACCCGCAGACCACTAAC